CCCCCCCCCCCCCCCAATTAGGAAAAGAGAAAATACATTTTTATTTGTTCCAAACCTTGCTTTGTCTAGCAGTTCAGTTAGGCCCCACTCCAGTGTGTATAGAAATTAGTGTATATGTAGCCAACACTTTATTTCCTTTATTGTGCATTAAGAGACGCAACCTGATGAAAATGAAGCCACCAAGAGTTATACTGCTGCCTATAAGAGAAATGGACCCCAGGCACATAAAAAAAACTGAAGACCAGACCCTTCAAGGCTATAACCCCTTCCACCTCACTCCTGCTCAGTTCTGCTTAGTCTCCTTGGAAGAATGTATGTCTTGCTCTTCCTATATTTTTTGCTACCGTGTTCCCCCGAAAATAAGACACTGTCTTATTTTATTTTTTTGCACAAAATAAGACACTAGGTCTTATTTTCGGGGGATGTCTTACCTGGCTGGCGGAGGAGTGGACGAGGTCGCTTCCATTGTGCGGGCGTGTGGGCGGGAGCTGCGGCTGGCGTGTGGGCGGGCGTGTGGGAGGGGCAGGAGCTGCGGCCGGCTGGCGTGTGGGCGGGGCTGGAGCTGCGGCAGGCTGGTGTGTGGGCGAGCGTGTGGGCAGGGCTGGAGCTGCGGCCGGTCTTTACACAGTTTATGTGCAGCTACCCCGAAAGTAAGACCTAGCGGATTTCTGTAATATAAGACCTACCACCGAACTAGGTCTTATTTTCGGGGTAAGTCTTATATTACAGAAATCCCTGAAGATAGTGCTAGGTCTTATTTTCGGGGTAGGTCTTATATTACAGAAATCCCTGAAGATAGTGCTAGGTCTTATTTTCGGGGTAGGTCTTACTTTCGGGGAAACACGGTGGATTTGGAATATTTGTTTTCTACTATCAAGAGCTACTGGTAGGTTTAGGCCAGATATTGGAAATCCCGGATGTCTCTCCAGTTAACCCACGAGCACAGGTTTTCCTTCATTAAGTATACTGGTGTTCTTTCTGCAACGGTCCTGCAGTCAGCGGTGACAAACCATCTTGTTCCAGTTGGCACAGAACTCAGCCCATACAAGTAAATTCTGGGTATTCCTTGTAGGGCATCGGGTCCAGAGCTGGGGCAGTTCGTCTGTCCCCGTCTCTGAAGACTCACTTTTGTAAGTGGCTTTAGCAGCTCTTTAGCTATTGGAGATTTTCTTCTTAATGTACCTGAGTATTTTTCTGTCTATGTGCTAATTGTTACAGAAATGGCTGTAGCTGTGCACTCTATGAGGAGGACAGTAAGGGCCCATTTACACCAACAACCTGCGTTCTGCCTCAGCCGCTAGTGTGTGCTGTGCAGGAAACCGGATGATTCACTAATTACAACACATCACACTGTTTACCTTTGTTCCTGTAACTTTATTACAATGTCACAAAATTATTTTTTATTCATCTTTTATACTTTGCAGAACATTGCGCTGTAGTGCATCTCGACACGCTGCACTGTGGGGAAAAATGAAACTTGTCCAATTTATTTTATTGTTTTGCACACACCACTGCAGTGCTGCATGCATGTGAGACATTTGTTCTATCTTGGATTAAAATGCTCTCAATGTCTTCAAAAGCTTCGGATGGAATCTATTTAGATATGTAGAGTATGTTATGGCCTCCCTCAATTGAAGAGACTTCTTAACATGCATGGGCGGAGAGGATGTATATTTACACATTCCCTTCTTTCCAGGTCCGTTTGTGGTCATTCCCCTTCGCTTTGCCTCAACCCCAAGAGTTTTCACAAAGGTCCAAACACCAGTTCTGGCTCTTCTTTGTCTCAGAAGCATTCCAGTTATCAGATAACTGGACAATCTGCTGTTATAAGAACAAACCTCTCTGACCATGGACTCCAGTGCATCACTCATGATGTGGACCTTGGAGGACTTCAGGTGTATCCTGAATTTCGTGAAGCCATTCTTGATTCCCTCACATCACTTTGAGTACTTGGGCATCCTAAACTGACTTCTTCTCCTGCCTCAGGAAAAGTTCACAAACTTGCAGAATCAGGTTTGGCAATCCCAATGTCTTCCCTAAAGAGCTGCATGCATGTTGTAGGACTGATTTTATCCACCTTCACAGCGGTCCCATTTGCTCAATTCCACTCCAGAACTTTGCAGCAGACCATTCTCACTGTGTGGGACAGATCCAGTCTTTCTCTATAGTAGATGATCTGATTACACCCCCAAACAAAGATGTCTCTGTCATGGTGGCTTCTGTCATCAGGGTTATCAGAGGGCAGGTTTCTTCCCTTACACTGGAAACTGTCATGGCAGTCTTCTGGACTGGGCTGGAGATCTGAAATATCTATCTATTAAGAGTTGTTGGTCTTCTAACTTCTAATCAACATCCTGGAATTATGAGCAATTTGTCATTACTTCACTGGACTTTCCCCATCCGACTGGTCATCTGGTCTGGGTTTAGTCGGATAGTGCCACATCTATGGGTTTCATCAGTCATCTGGGGGACACCAGGAGTGTTGCGGCGAGAGGAAGAGTCTTTCCTTTCTTTGGCAGAGTTTTTCACCTTGGTGCATTTTTCCTGGAGTGGAGAACTGGCAGGCAGATTTTCTCAGCAGACAACTCAGGATCTGGGGAATGGTCTCTGCATCAAGAAGTATTCCAGAACATACTGTATGTCTATGCTGAGGGATTCCGGACTTGGATCTGCTAGCTTTTTGGTTGAATAAGAAAGAGATTTGTCTCCAGGACACAAAATTCAACGGCGGATGAAGAGGATGCCTTTTTGACGTCCTGGATCAATATGCCCTAATTTATGCTTTTTCTCTGCTGAAACTCTTGCCTTGTCTACTTTGAAGCGTCAAAACCGGCAGCATTCCCGGCATTCTAAAAGCTGTGAATTTGCCTCGGAGAGTGTGCTCCTTACTTTGTTATACGACACTCTATGGCTTCTACCAGATTGGCTAGATCTGGTTTTCTCAAGTACTGATCTTTGACCTTGCTTCCCACTTGCTGGTTGTAATTGCCTGGCTTTTAAAACCCATAGATCTACCTTGCGGGAAGATTTATCAGTGAACGTGGAAAACTTATTTTCACTGGTGTGAGTCTCAGGGAGTTCCCCTAAGCGTGTCTTCCGTGCGTAACACTTGGCTCTTAATACTTTCAAGGGTCGGGTATCTTGGCTCTGTTCTTTTTCAACATTCTCTCAACACTCCTCTCTAATAATTCACCAATTTGAACTTTCAAGCAGGCACATATTGCTCCCCCTGGTCCAACTGTGCTATTTAAATCTAGTGTTCTTCTTTTTTGTGGCCATCACTTCGGCCAGAAGGGTTTTTAACTACTTGAAGACCAGGTGTTTACACCCCCTTCCTGTCCAGGCCATTTTTCAGTATTCACGCTGTAGTACGCTGCGGTACTTTGACTGACATATATTCCGTCATGCAACGCTGTACTGAAATTAATTTTATACAATTTTTTAGGGACAGATGGATCTTTCTTTTGGGGTTATTTAATCACCACTGCAGGTTTTATTTTTTACTATATTTAGGAAAAATTACTGAAAATGTAGAATTTTTTTTTTTTTACATTGTAAGGAAACAATTATTCCCAATTTTTTGGTAAAATATAAAAGGGTAAATAGACACCAAACATGTCAAGCTTAAAAATTGCGCGCACCCGCGAAATCGCAAACAACTACCATACTCAAAATTTACCATAGCGACGCTTTCAAAGCTTTTACAGCTCATCAGTTTAGTTTTATCAGTGATTGATGGGCCTACAATTATTGCTCTCACTGTAATGGCCGCGATCGTTGTTTTCGCAGGTATGCACACCTGAAGCATGTTTGCATGCGTGTATGTATGGGTGGGGACTTAAAACATTTTGTTTTTTTCAATTCTTTTTTATGTGTAACTTTAGAAAAATAGTTTTGGAAACTTTTATTTGTTTTGTTTTCACTTAACTTTATTTGTATCAGATAGGGGCTAAGAAACCCCCCTATGTGATAGCAAAAGATGTGACAGGTCCTCTTTATGGAGACATTAGTGGTCTCCAAGACCCCTAATGTCACCTAGGACCCCCCTGAAGAAGCTGATGAAGCAGAGATCTGCTTCATCAGCTTCTCTCCAGCGTCTGAAGCTGGAGAGTGACACGAGAATGCGGAAGTGATGTAATATACACCACTTCCGCATTCTGACAGCGGAGAGGGGACCGGAGGGAGCTCGTGTACCGACCTCCCTCTGATCCCCTGTCGGAGAGGCACTATGCTGGTCCCAGGCTCGCACCTGGTAGGGGGGCCGCGGAGGGGGGGAAGACACGGGCCGGCAGCTTATACAAGTGATCCGCCGGCTCTATAGCCGGCGGATCGCTTGTATGTTAACAGGCATCGGTGCCTGTTTTTACATTTTGTGTCTTTCCCGCTCGCCCGTGCCGCACACGAGTGGGCGGGGCTAACGGACCGTATATACACGGCCTGTTACTTCCAGGAAGCTCACGGCCGGCTGGTTTTTTACAACGGTCGGCCGGGAAGCGGTTAAGGTTATTACTGTTGTCCTCTTAAGAGTCCTTTCTGATCTTGGCAACAGACAAGGTAAGGACCTTCTGTTTACCCAAAAGTGGTCCCTGCCTTCCTTCTTAAATTTAGATATGTTTCTATGTGCCCAGTGTGAATTTCTCCTGTAGAAGGCGGCAGTATAACCCTAGGTTGCTTAATTAGCTGTGTCCTTCAGTAGACTCCAAGAAAAGGATTTTATGGTAAGTTAAAAAAAAAACTAAACTTGTTTTTTGTTAGGTTTTAGTAGAAAAATGTAAAACCAATGTTGCATTAATATTTTGCCATCTGTTTCCTATTGGGATTATTTCCTGTGCCCATAAGTGGAATTTCCCTCCTCGGCAGGTGTCCCAATTTCATTATTTACCCTCACCTCTTTTATTTCCAGCTGTAAAATTTTGGACTTCCATCATGTTCTGTATAGAGAAGGTAAATATCTCCTGTAGGGTCACAAAAAGCAAATAAAAACAAAAAAACCCCCGTAAAAACTGATGGTTTTTAATTCTATTATGTACAAAACAAATACATTTTTGTCTGTACAGACACTTTAACAGAGATTTGTAAGAGGGAGCTTGATTAAATGGCCTGACCTACAACTAATGAATACCCATGAAACTATATTGTTTTTAAGACTATATTGTTTTTAAGACATATTAACAAATACTATCATTCTTGGCCTGTATTAGAGGTAAAATTGGTTGCTGTGATATAATTCCGTACACTGTTTATTGAATAGGTTCTTACGAACATCATACACATGCACAACTGTGCACACATTTGTGTTTTTAGATGACGAGAATGGGAGAGGATGCAACAGCATTGAGTATTCAGGTCTAATCTATAAGAGGTTATTCTGTTCTTTGTATTAGATCCCACAGTTTCTACTGGATGACTGTCACGAACAGGGAATCCCATGCCGTTTATTTTGCACTCAGCCCAGGCGTTTGGCTGCAATTGCTGTTTCTGAAAGGGTGGCTGCTGAAAGAGGCGAGAAAATTGGGCAGACTATTGGGTTTCAGATCCGCCTGGAGAGCCGGTACGTCATACATATTGTAGATGTTAAACTGTAACCTTGCTTATTGTCCATTGTACACATTGCAAAAATCTTTGCAAACTGCAATGCATATGCTTACCTGCTGCAGCTCTGTTGAAAATTACGTGTGTTCCATTCACTCCACATCTGAATATTAAGTGGCAGGGTCTGCCTGCTATATTTCAAGTACATCAGCAAGCAATGCAATTTGGGTGGGCGTACTGGCACAAACAGTGTACAGAATGGTTTGTGTTGCCATTGATACAAGGGTAGGGATTTTATTGTAAGTTTAAAATATCAAATGGCTGGATGGATAGATCAATTTTAATAATACTGTCATAATAAATTTACTAATAAAAATATGCTTTCATTATCTCAGTTGCATTAGAATCAATACACTTGGAATCTGATATATTGATTTGCCATGGTGGGTGGACAGCTATATGCCTACAATATTTAGGAAGATTAAGTGTATAAACTAGTATAACTATCAGCAGGTAACTAGCACACCAGGTCATACACAATATTTAGGAAGATTAAGTGTATAAACTAGTATAACTATCAGCAGGTAACTAGCACACCAGGTCATACACATCTTAAAATGTTTTGTTTCGCTATCCAACAAACGTATTCAGAACCGAACTGTACAGTATAGCTGACAGTATTCATTGCTTGCAAGGCAAGGTGAGACGTTCGTCCATCCCACGTGCTGATGCAGAACAAGTAGAATTGCTGCTTATTGCTGAGAGAGAGAAATTACTAGTTTACACTCTGTTGTGATTGTACATTATTAAGGAATTAACTTTGTATTGTGTAATTCAAATATGTTATCCTCTGTTAATTAGGGTCTCTCCCAAGACTCTCCTGACATTCTGCACTAATGGAGTCCTTCTGCGTACACTCATGGGTGGAGACAGCGCAGTTTCTACTGTCACTCATATTATTGTGGTAAGGACTTTATCCCAACACAAACCATACATGGAAAATAATAAAATAAGTGTAACTGCTACAAAGCAACTTGTAAATATTAATGGGAATAGGTATACAATTTACACTCTTGTAGATAATGTTATATATTTGACAGTTAATGTGCTTATGAGCAGTTGGAAAGCATTGCTGTCACAAACTTCATGTTTTTGGTTCAATTTGAGTTCTCACAATTGAATTTACTGAAGGCAGCTCTAGCAGGTGTCTCCTCAAAGGTTAGCGGTCTAGCCCAGTGCAATTTGATTCTTTCCCTTCGCTGCAGCAGTAACTGAACTTATTACAGTCTGGTTGTCCCAGATTGCCAGACCTGCAACTATTTATTGTCACCCACTATGTTCTGAGAGGTGTTTTCTGTTGTACCTATATTTTGCACATGTTAATCCTCTCTTAAAGCAGAAGTAAAGCTAGGTTAAAAAAAAAAAACCCAAAAGGACCACCAGGAGCTTTTAGCCATAATGTACTAGTATGCACAGCATATTGGCGTATTATGGCAGATTTACCTGCCAAACTGCACCCCTCCAGCGCAGTGCTTCTCCTCTCTGGAGCTTCTATATTTGGCTCAGTCCTCTTCTAGGTTTCGAGTCTTTGGCCCCTTGATTGGCTGGGGCCCGCTGACATGAATTCCATGCATGGGAGTTACTTTAGCTTGGCGTGCCAGTACTGTTCTCTGAGCTTCGAATGAGCGGTTGAGTGCACAGAAACTGAAATGGCCGAATGGTGAAAAGAAGCTTTTATGGCATAAAACATCCACTTTAATGTTTTAACATCCACTTTAATTTCAAAACTAAAAAGTTAAATTAAAAAAAATGTTCCATGTGTTTTTGTTTGTTTTGTTTTTTTAGGTAATTATATTATGTTGAAAATCAATTTCAAAGTAAAGGTTGCATAAGTACAGCACATTATACAAATGGATTGACTCAATTTCACTCACATATGCAAAGAACAACTTAAGTGTTAAGGCCCGGTTCACACCTGGGCGTTTTGTAGCGCCTTCCTACGCTCTGCAAAACGCTCAAACACCGAAATCCCATTATTGCCTATGGGCATGGTTCACACCTGGGCGTATTACAAGCCGTATGAACGCGCTACAAAACGCCCTATGCCCAAAGAAGTACAGCAGCTTCTTTGGGTCGTATTTGCCGCGCGTATTCATTGGGATACAGCCAATGTCTGTCGCGCGTTTTTTACCGCGAATCGCGGTAAAACCGCGCGACAAACACGCATGTTCGATACGCCTAGGTGTGGACCCAGCCTAAAGGTGGATAGCATGGAAGCAGCAGTTGATTATACAACCCGACCTCCTCAAAAATAGTTTCTGCATTTTACTTTCTGTTGATCATGATCCCCTTACATGTCAGTCACCTATATGTTAAGACATAGTAAGCAGACTTGGGTACCCACAAAAGAATTCCAAACCCAGATCTGGTCATTTTGACCTGTTCCATAAATACCTAAGACAACTCTTATAATGTCCTTCCACCTTATACTTTCCATATTGTCATTTCTCACAGACACCTTTCAGACATAGACCTGCCTTGGAAGTTTGAATGTTGGTCGTACAAGAAGCAGAGGAGGTTACACAGACTAGGCTTCAGTATGCACATCCCAATTAACCCTGCGTGGTGCTCTGAGTAATATTTCTGAATAAACATAGTTGCAGTGTTTGCTAAATAGCATCAGCAGCTCACTGATTTGCTTTTATCTGGAATTGCTTTCCAGGCTGAAATGGGATATGGCATATTCTCTTTTTTTTTATCATATTGCATGGCCACATTTAAATATGTTTGGCAGAAAACTGCATGAGCACATTCTCTCCCTTTTTATATTGGTTACATAATTAGTCAGGTTGAAAAAAGACACATGTCCATTGAGTTCAACCTATAGAGATATGAAAAAAAAAGAACGCTATGCCCACAGTTACCCACTGTTGAACCAGAGGAAGGCAAAAAACCCCTATAAAGCATGGTTCAATTTTCTCCAACAGGGGAAAAAAATCCCTTCTGATCCCATAAGGCAATCGAATATTCCCTGGATCAGCAATCTCTGGTGCCTAACATACCTATAATTACTCAATATCCAGTAATATTCTGCGCATTTAGGAATACATCCAGATTTTTTTTTAAATAGTTAGCTGAGCTAGCTAGAACTAGTTATTAAGTTGTTGAACTGTCATTAAATAAGGGAGAACTGTTGACTTTTGATGTTAGAAAGAGAACTTAGGAACTTCTCAGCAAAACAATTCCCACTTCTTTTTAATGTTTTCTAGTATATGAAGCTGGAATTACTGCTATAGCTTGAAAATGTGTTGTAATATGTTGAGGTGACATAACTGGGGGCGAGTAATTTATTGCAAATTAAAGATAACCGTGCCTTCCAGATTAAATTTGTTTGTTTTATGAAGTGATGACTGATGTTCCTGCCAAACTGGAATCAATCGTCATCGATCTAATAATTAAAATGTCACTCTCTTCTGTCACATGACAGAGTTTTATCAGCATTGTTTATTGCTCTCATTTTACCCTTTATAAACAAGAAGCAGTATCACGCGCATCACAAATCTCACATGCGTAGCGACACACCAATTTTCTCTGTCCTCATTATTAAACATGGAACCATTCATTGTTTCATTGTCATCAAGGATGTCGGCAAATGATTACACCTGGTGTTCTGATTTGTAATTACACAATGCTTGAACACAGAACACTCTTCTGACAAATCAGATACAAGGGCAGAGAGTTGGGCTATAAATCAGTTGTATTATTTCTAATGATTTAGGAACAAACTAGCACCTATATTGAAAGTCAATGTCTAAACAAAAATGTGTGATTGATGTAAATTGAATGCAGCTACTAAACATGCTGATTACATTACTTAATGTGGTACTGAAACTTTAATATGTTATATGAGTGATGTTCTTTTATGTCAATTGTTTGTTCTAGGGTTATTTTGTTATCTTGAATATTTTAGGTTCTAGATTCTAGAGACTGTAGCAGGATTCGGCCTTGCTGTGGTTTAAACAACTTAAAGTGTGTGTAAAGCCAACATTTCTTTAAAATCTCTATCGGATTATTTTTTGCTGCCTCTGTCCTTTTGGGAAGCTTTCTCTTTACTTCCTGTCCTGGAAATGGGACAGGAAACCTCTTGAAGGGAGTTTAATTCCCATCTTAGAGAGTTTTTACTGAGACCGAGACGCCAGATGTCTCCAGTGGAGGATTTTTACTCCTTTCTTGTTTTGGTGTCAACTTAAAATTTTTTGATTTCCTCTCACATTCTGTCTTAGTGGCAATGGTGGAATGGATGGATCTTTCCAAAAAGGATACGGACTTGACAAAGGATCTAATCCTGACCTAATCTGTTTTAAACAAAAATAATTTAGCCTTTAGATACACTTTAATGTTAAACATGAAAGGAGTTTGGGTTCCCCACAGGTATTTGTTGATTCATCCTGGTACTGACTGAAGTACTTTTGGCTTAAGTACTCTACTATACAACACTGATTTTAGAAGTCAGACATTTATTTTTACCACAAATCGGACAGTTTGTGTCACAAACTATTGTTAAATAGGGGATTGGCTAGATTAGCCTGGGTGAGGCAGGATTATCAGGGTTATTCACAAAAGGGTGCAGAGTTTGGAGAAGTGAACAATCTAGGGCAACATAGCTGATTTGGAAACATTCTCCAATTCAGCTCACTTTCCAGTTCAGCTATGTTGTCCTAGATTGTTCACTTCTGCCTTCTCCAAACTCTTCACCCTTTTGTGAATAACCCGGTATGTCTAGTTGTCCGGTCCTTCTAATCTAGGGACATGTTATCAAGAAAGTATCCATGTTAAAATGCCATTATGAGGCATTATAACTTTAAATTGTGATTGTAGGCAGATATTAAAAAAACACATTTAATCCAGTTACATATTCATTAAATATGTGTCAATGTATTTTTAAATATTACTGTCTTTTAGTGGTCCCTTGTAATCATCTGTACATCATCATTTAGAACATTGTTTAAACTGAGAGGACTGTGAAGCTGGCTGAACTTCCCACAGTGTGTGCCGCTGTCGGGCACCCCTTCGGCCAGCATCCCTCGATCATCTGACCAAAGGAGGCAGCCAGAAAATCTTTGAACGAACAGAGCTGGCAGCCATTAAACTGTCGACTCTGTTCAGGTATTCTGACAGCGGCGGCCCGTAAGAATTGATGGAGGAATCTGTTCTATTACTTACGTTCAGCCCGCAGGTTGAACAAAAAAAATAGAACAGTGTATAGCCAGCTTCAGTCAGTCAGGAGCTTAGTGTTATGATTTTTATTTTCTTGTCCCTTGAGGGACATTCAACACCCAATTGTTTGCTGAGCCTCACTGCAGATTCCACAAAAGCACTCCTGTGCAGATGAACCTGCAGATTATGTATCTGATCTGCCCGCAATCTTAGTGGCTTCTAAGCCATTGGCTATAGGGACTCTTTGCCTGGGCATTTCAGCATTAATCAACTGTTTCTCAAATTGTAAGACTGCTACCTGGTCTTCTATATACATGTTCTCTAAGTTCTACCAGGTGGATGTTACAGCCTCATCTGATGTCAGCTTCAGGTATATTGACCTTTAGGTAGCTCTTGAGCTGCAGTCAGTTTCCGTGTCTCTGTTGTTTTCTTGGGCTTGCTAGTGTTGCTTTGCTGTGCTGCCCACCCCTCAGTTGGTCTGCTCTTGGAAGTCCCTCAATGGTTGAAAAGTAAATTGGATTTTTGTACTCACGGTAAAATCCTTTTCTTGGAGTTCATTGAGGGACACAGGTCCCATCTCTGTGTTTATGATGACGCTCTCAGGACTATTTCACTATAAAATTGAAGTATGCCGATAGGCTTATCTTGGACTGGTCTTCTCTAGATGACAGTATAACCTGAAGATGAAAGACTTCATGTGTCCCTCGATTTAAAGCACGTACAAAGATCCTGTTATTTCATGGAACTAATGATTATCATAGATCGTCATTGCCTCTTTTTTTAAGATTGTTTATTAGTTTAGAAAGTGGTATTTTATGTTATGTTTTGTTCTTGTAATACTCTCTACATCTTGTCATTGATCATGTAACAGGATGAAGTTCATGAGCGTGATCGGTTCAGTGATTTTCTGTTAACGAAGCTGAGGGATGTGGTGAAGAAGCATCCAACTCTGAAGCTGATCCTCTCTAGTGCGGCCTTAGATGTCGACTTGTTTCTCAGATATTTTGGAGGCTGTCCTGTTTTAAATAGTATGCTTTTTTGTTTTTCTGTTTTTACTGTTTTATTAAATTAGTTGTACTATCCGTGTTAACCAAGTTATGCACGTTCTCAGCTATACACAGGCAGCACATTTTACGTGTACATCTAGTAAAACTACCTTATGGTTTTTTTAATTGTTTTTGGTAACAGGGAAGAATTATAACTAGGGATGCACCGATACAGATACTAGTACTCAGTGCCAATACTGAATATTTGGGCTAGTACTCGTACTTGCCCAAATGTTACCGATGTGTATCCCGATCAGGAAGCTTGGGGGTGAGTCATTGCCCGCCCCCTGGATTCCTAATTGGGTGGGAAGACAGCTCCATGCTTTCTCCTCACCTGGTGACGAGGTAGCATGGAGCTGGCTTCCCAGCCACTCGGGAAGCCCGGCGCCATGTAATGACTTGCCGCTCGGCTTCCTGATTGAATGGGAAGCTGGCCAATCAGGAAGCCAGGTGGCAAGTTATTACCAGCGCCCCCCCCGGCTTCCTGATTGGCCAGAAAGCCGTCTCCATGCTCCCTCGTCACCGGCTAATCGGGAAGCCGGGCGGTGAGTTATTACATGCAGCCCTGCTTCCTTATTGGGACCTCTGGTATTGGTATTTGGTATCGGTGAGTACCGGGAAAAAAAATATTGTTACTCGATAACGAAAAACAGCTATTGGTGCATCCCTATAACCCCTGTTGGGTTTTTACTGCTATCTGATGCTGGTGTCTGCAACAGGATCACAGAAACAAATACAAATCTGACAGGGGTTCTAGCCTTCCCCTACGTTACTAAATACAAAGCATGTTTATTCCTGCGTTACCATTGGAGACATTTTCTCTCCGGAAAGTTAGTGAGGAGAAACCCTTGTAATGGATAGCAGTAAAAACCCAGTAGGGATTGTAAACCTTCCCCACACTATCCTAACCCAAAAAAATGAAAAGATTTGGCTACTATTACCCTTTTAATCCTTTCATAGTGAATTGATTGCGACAGTTGTATAGTGCATTGGACAAAGCCTAACATATCTCAAACTAGGGTCAACTGAAAGCATTTTAAAGTATAGTAATATGTCTTAAAACTGACCTAGGGGTATGCTGCATATAATCGCTGCCGATTTGTCCATTTACTTATTGACATAGAAAAAAACATACCAGGAAACATTGGGGGCAAGCAAAATCTGGACCAGTTGCCCATGGCAACCAAACGGCTACTATCTTTTCATTTTAAAAACTTAACTGAACAAATTGAAAGAGAAGCTGATTGGTTAATATGGGCAGCTGCTCCATATTGTGTGTTCCTGCCACATATGCAAAGGGAAGGCATCCATTTCATAGTCGATACACAGACAATCAAAATAGTGTATATTGCCACATTTTAACTAACGGTAATCATTTGTGTTTGCTGCAGTTTTATATAATCAACAGGGCTTGAAAAATCCACTCGCCTGCTTGTCTGTGACGAGAGGACGGTGGAGCCCGACGAGCAGCTTCCCGGCCGGCCGTTGTAATTACACTGCCGGCTGGGAGCTTTACATTCAAGCGATCAAGCGTCTCTAGAGACGCTCAATCGCTTGTATTAGCAGCTGTCACTGCCGTTGCCGGTCCTGAGATCCGCTGTGCCCAATGCGACCGGGCCCGGCACGGCTCTGTGACAGGAGATCAAAGGGAGGTCAGTATACGGTCTCCCTTTGATCTCCTCTCAGTCCCCGAATGCAGGAAGTGATGTATATTACATAACTTCCTGCATTCAGTGTCACTCTCCAGCTACAGAAGCTGATGAAGCCGATGTCTGCTTCATCAGCTTCTCTGGGGGTCCCTAGGTGACAGAGGCCTAGGAGACCCCTGATGTCTCCATAAAGAGGACCTGTCATGTAAATTGGCTATCACATAGGGAGCTTCTTAGTCCCCCAAAATATGGGGAAGAATAAATGTTTTATAACATAACGTAGTGAAACTGTGTTTTTTTTTTTTTTTACATTTATGGTACTTTTTTTCATTATATAGTAAAAAAATAAATAAATATAAGTTAATTTGCAAGGCTATAGTCTGGTCATACTGACTGGTGACATTTTTGACTGGTGAGACACCATCCAATTTTTCAAGCCCTGATGATCAATAATCATTTCTGTTGGACAAGTTGTGAAATGCATGTTAGGATAAATCTGAGGTGAATACTAGTGGCGTGTAATTTTTTTTTCTTCAGTACCAGGCCGCCCTTTTGAGGTAAAAGAAATGTTTCTAGAAGACATATTAAGGACTACTGGCTACACAAATAAGGACATGCTTAAATACAAGAAAGAAAAACAGTCTGGTAAGTTAAATGGAACTCTAAAGTAGCTTATATGTGCTGGAAAGCACTCTATATTTTACAATAGAACATATTTTTGTTTGTTTTTAACTATAAGCCATCTAAAAAACATTGCTTAACAATCTGTCCTATTCAGTTCCTAGCCATAAATTCATTCTCGGCCTCCAAGGCTTTACCAAACATTATACTAAATTGTTTTTTTCATTAATCACAAACCTTTCAGCTTATGTTTAACCACAATGCTATTCCTTGTGTTGCTCCTTAATATGCTTGCTATATTTTTCTGCCTAGAAGTATTGCATGGATTTCCTTGTGAAGTGTTTTATATGGTAATATTTATACGCTGTCCTGATATCATTTAGACATCATAAGCCTTGTTCTCTCTCAGTACTGATATTGTGGTTATTTGTTATGTTATCAGAGGAAAGGCAAAAGTCAACTCTATCGGAATGGCATTCAGTGACAGAGAAGAGTACAAAGTCAGACACAGACACCCAGAGGCAGAGGACCTCTGCCAGCATCACTAAGGATTATGACTTGCTGGATGATGGAGGGGACACACTGTTTAATCAACTGGTGAGGAGTTTAACTTGCAGTCAAGCATAGTTATGTGGGGAGGTGTGCAGAGTTAGCATTCTTCAATAAAGGGAATAACTAAAGAAAGCATCCTGTGGGTTCCCATAGGCAATCACTGTAATTTGAGGTTGTTAGGCACAGTACTAGGGGAAATTATTGCTCCATGTTTTGGTAAAACCTAGGACAGTATGGACAGAATTACAAATTGTTTGGCAAAGGAATAGTTACCATATTGTATGTACTGTATTTATGTGGGGATCTGCCTAAAAGGAGAACTATGAGGCGAGTGCTTTTCACTCACCTCATAGTTCTAGCCGACCTGTGACAATGAGACTGTCACAGGTCGGCTCAGTAGATCGGGAGGTGAGAGAACACATACCGGCGTTCGCTCACCTCTCGATCCTGTCACGGCTCTCTGCCGTGACAGGGGAGGGTCTGGATTCCCCCCTCCCGCTCTGATCCGCCAGCACTGACTGGCGGAACGGACGGGGCGGATACAGCTGGCTCTGCCTCTAGATTGGCAGAACCAGCTGTCAGTCACGCAGCTGGGCGGATCCAGACATAATTGTCGGGATCCGCTTCAGCTGCGGCGTCTCAGTATACCGCGAGCAGCAGCGAGCAGTATACTGCGGCGTCTCAGTATACCGCGAGTTACACCACGCGGTATACTGAGCCTAGGGTGACGGGAGGACGCTAGTTTGTGTCCTCCCGTTTCCCTATGGAGAACTACCGGGAAAAGCCTTAAACCCATAGTTCTCCTTTTAAGAAATGGATTTTCATTATTCTTTTTTTTCTAGAAGCAGATTTGCCATCTGCTGGAAGTCTTTGACTTCATATATTGTTTCCAATTGCTCACTATTTTTTTTTATAATAAGCCAGTTAAAATCCATGACAGTGTATGTCTGTACCAGTCCTCCTGATTTTGCTCTGCCTGCCCTAAATGTCAGGTCAGTAGATTAGAAGTCTCTGACATCCCAACAGCTTTCATTTTGGAAGAAAGATGACAGAAATTAGTTCTATAGAGGTGAATAATACTGAAATACCAGATTCACCTCGCCACTCCACTTAAATCTGGTGGTTTTGTCTTAAGAAAATGCTGCTTCAAATATAATGTATATAAAAGAGTAAACAGGTTGTTTTCAAAAGAAAAGTGACAAAAACCAATTGTATGCACTTAAGAGTGAATGATCTCGTTGGCTCTGGTGAGTTCTCTGTTTTGCACAAGGTTTTGGAACTCGCACAGATAATGTTTGTGGATCACATTGTGGTGAAGAATCATGATGATTTACAATGTTTTTTTTGTGAGTATACCAGAGGCTTTGGACTCCTAGACTAGAGTTCTACATTAGTCATAGTATAAATTAAATAAAAGTATGAATACTTTTCATATACACATATGTTCATTAGGTGTGTGCTACATTTATATCTGCATATTTTTACATCATTGAAAAAAATAATCCTATAAAACACAAAACTATGGTATGCACAATACACTTCAGCAACCTTTTCCTTTTTCTTCATCTGGAAACTGGTTAAAGCCCTAGTAGTCGGGTTAAGAAGAGGCTCTAAATCCCTTTTAATTATTTTTTTATTGTTATTTGTGTCGAAATAATGTGCCTTTTGTCAGTGGGTTAGATAAGGGCAGTCTGTATCTCCCCAGAGCAATAAATCATACTCAGACTTATCCAAGTATAATTTTCCAGTGCAGACCTGAAAGTGATTGATTTCTGTAAGAAAGCACATCATGAGACTCAACCTACAGATGCATTGACGTATACAACAAGTATTTGTAGTATTTCTTATGTGGCTCTTCTATTTCCTGCCTTTTAGTATTCATAAATATACTATATGTTGGGTTTTATAGTCTCCCATATTGGATATCATTAGCATACCAGGTACCAGCAGCTGCAAAGAAAGTACAAGTACTTTGTCATCCAGTAATCAGGGGCTAGGACTTGTAGATCTACCATAGCAGCCACTGGCCTGCCATATCTGTAAAACATTTCCATTGTTCTTCTGACTCGTCTTTTGTTGTCTGTGCATGTGAAGACGGAGAAGGATGCGAACAGTCTGGAGCCCTGGCTGATCAAAGAAATGGACTCCTGTCTCTCAGATATTTGGTTGAACAAAGATGTTGATGCTTTTGGTCAGCTGTTCCACTTGATATTGTCAGAAAATGTTAGTGGTAAGTTATAAGCTGTTTGTATTACTATATAATGTTTAACTATGTGTCATGGGGCTGCCTTCCAATCGGTGGCTCAGCCTATACACATATCCACCGCGGCCAATAACAACTTGCCCTCATCTTCCTCTAAGACTTGCCCACCCGCCACTTCCTAACCACTAAGAGCTCCTCCGTTGCTAGTAAGATTGTCACGTGTAGTGTAGGTATGTGGGTGAGTTTGGCTTAGCCTCAAAGTTGTTAGTAACTGACTAAGGGCCTGTGTTGACAGGCTTTGAGCTTGTGTCAATTGGATCAGTTTGACATCAGTTTAAAGAAGAACTTTACCCTTATCTTTTAAATGACAACAAAGGAACCTTTTAGAAAAGTTTAGTGATGGCAATCTACAAACATACGAATAGATAATTGCCGGCTATTTATTCTTTGCATACCGTATTTTTCTTTTCCTCCCATTCTTCCCAGAGTGTCCATTTTCAGGGCAGACAAATCCATTTCTCTTTGCTTCCTGGAACTCTGGCACATGTGAATTTGTGATGTAGAATCTCAGAAAAGGGGAAAAAATGCCTTTCCCTGAGAGCTTGTGAGATTTTGCAGTATGCAGATGAGCTTGCCCAGCAATTCACTGCTGATGTAACCTACCCAGGATACATCTCTTAGGCCCAGATTTCATCATTATTGCCTAAGAAGGACCAGAAAGTGGAAAAACTGTAATTGTAAGTAAAAGTAAGATATGTATAGCTAATGAATGTATTTAACCACTTCCTGACCGGGGTGTTTACACCCCCTTCCCAACCAGGCCATTTTTCAGTATTCAGCGCTGCGGTACTTCAACTGACGTTTATTCCGTGATGCAACGCTGTAGTTAAACAAATTTTATACCATTTTTTGGGGACAGATAGAGCTTTCTTTTGGTGGTATTTAATCACAACTGGGGGGTTTATTTTTTACTATATAACAAAAAAGTACTGAATATTTAAAAAAAAAAAAACACGGTTTTCCCTTTACTATTTTAGGAAACATTAATTTTTACCCAATGTTTTGGTAAAACATAAAAGGCGGGGTCACATCAGGTAAATAGACACCAAACATGTCAAGCCTTAAAATTGCACACACCCGTAAAATCGCAAAAAACTATCATAGCCAAAATTGGCCATAGGCTTTGCTTTAAAAGATTTTAGCGCTCATCAGTTTAATGTTATCAGTGATTGATGGCCCTAGAATTATTGCTCACACTCCGACGTTCGCGGCGATATGTAACGTGTGGCGTAATGGGTGCAATCGTCGTTTTTGCGTGTAGGCACACCTAACGCATTTTTGCGCATCTATGTGTGGGTGGGGGACTTTAAAAAAACTTTTGTGGGTTTTTTTTTATTTGTGTGTGAAATTGTATTTTGGGAGCAATTTCTTTTTTTAACTTTTTTTTTACACTCAACTTTATTGTTATCACATAGGGTGCTAAGAAGTCCCCTATGTAATAACAAACTACAGTGACAGGTCCCCTTTATGGAGACATCAGGGGCCTCTAAGACCCCTAATGTCCTCACCTAGGGACCCCCGAGAGAAGCTGAAGCTTAGATGTGCTTCATCAGCTTCTCTCCGGTTTCTGTACCGGAGAGTGACAGGGGAATGCGGAAGTGATGTAATATACATCACTTCCTGCATTCAGAGACCGAGCGGAGAGCAGAGGGAGATCTGTACTGAACTCCCTCCGTTCTCAGTGCACAGAGCCGCCACATCGCCCGGGATGGTTGACGCCCGGGATCGCGGCGGCGGCGTGAACGACGAGAAGAGGTAAGAGAGGGGTCACCCTGACTTGCATCATACAAGCAATCGCGCATCTTTACGGACGCCAGACCGCTTGTATGTAAACGGCCATCGCTGGCCGTTTAAAATCCTGGCAGATTCCTGCGCGCACGAGCGGGTGCCGGCACGAAGGACGTCTAAAGATGCCCACCCGCATCCAGGAGACTCCCGTCCAAGCGTCTTTCAGCGGACGGGAAGTGGTTAAAATAAGCATGCAAAGCTGCATGCTGATGTGTTTTTTTTTTTTTTTGTGTGAAATGGGGTAAAGGTCCACTTTAAGATGCTTCTGAGATCATTTAGAATTCATTGACCGGTGCATTTGACCTGAGGTTGTCCTCCTGACTTGCATTTGACATGCTTCAAGTGGGTTTGGCATTCCCATAGACTTGTATGTAAAACCCGTCTGGCGTGAAGAAAAGCTTGTCGATATGGGCCCTAATAGTAATAGTGGGCACCTTTTTTTATGCCTGCTCTTAGACAGGACTTTTACTTTCAAAAGTTTAAAATGGTTGACTGGTTTGCTATGAAATGTCCCTATACATTTGGCACCTATTCCCTATAGGCAGGGATAAGTAGCCATGTACAGCTTAATGCCAGGATTGTTTTTTTTTCATTTAACAGTAAATGCAGCCTATTTCTCCTTCCCGTTATCTTGACCCTGCGGAAAACTGAAAAATACGATTACTACGCTATCATAACTTTTTCTGGTGCTTTGCCCATGTGTGTATAATTTTTCAAAAATCCTTCCTAGTTCATATTTAGGATTTTTTTGTCAAATGCTTTGAAGGTTGTTTGGTAGAATCCTTTCTTTAAGCTGTGGAGGTCACAATATCCTGTCTTTACTATCACTGTCCCTTTTTTGTTTTTAGTTGACTACAGACACAGCGATACAAGCGCGTCTCCCTTGATGGTGGCAGCTGGACGGGGCTTTTTGAGTCAGGTGGAACAGATTATTAGCATGGGAGCCAATGTTCACAGCAAAGCATCAAATGGATGGTAAATGCATAGCTAATGTATTTAAATGACTGTATGCATAGTTGGCTTTACTATTTAAGTTATTAGGTACTATCTATGTTATCTTCAGTTGCCTGATGAATGCATTTATTATACTCGTAACTCATTTTGTGACACTTTTATTATGCCATTTAATGTAGCATTTGCTTCTAGATCCTTACATCATTAAGTTTGGCCAGAAATGTTATGGATGAGACATATCCTCTTTCTCAATATTTATGAGGTTTATAGGCACATGGGCTAAATAAAAAATGCAAAATGGCCCCAAATTTTTTTTCTATGTGTTAACCTTAAAGATAACAAATAAATGGTTTCTATGAAAAACAGATCAACTAAGGGCATGTCGACACATTTGTGAATATGAGCAGTTGGTGCTTGCGCAAAGAATGGGTGTTTACAAAAATGAATTGATAACCATGCGTGCTTAGTGAAGTTTTTGCTTTGTCCTGTATTATAAAGCACCCCCACTGCTGACAATGATTTGTATAATGACAGATGATGTATGCGTTTCTTAATTTACCACTTTAAAGCCTGAAGTATAACTAAGGGCTTGTTCACACGACGTCCGATTCAGTCCGGACCAGATCCGTGCGCTCCTGCACCAAAAAATGTATCCCTATGTGTTTTATGGGCAACAGTTCTCACCAGCACAGTCCGTTCCGGTCCAGACAGAAAAAATACTGCATGTCACATTTTGTCCGGTCCAGAAACGCACGTACACGTCAAACGCAATGGAAAAACCAGCCGAAAACGCTCCGCACTGCAGCTAACATAATGACAGCCCAACTCCCAACAAAAAAAAGAACTACTAACTGGAACGCGTAAAAAATGCACTGCACGTATAGAAATGCGTCTGCAGATCTGCACCAGATCTGGACCGGAAAATCGTGTGAACAAGCCCTTAAGGTGTGATGAATACAGTCTCCCTGCTCAGACATTTTCCAGCTCATGGGACAGCAATCAAAGCACCAGCAGATTGAGTGAATGTCACCGGGGCAGGTAAACTGATTAGTTAACCCTTAACATACACTTTAACCGCTTGCTGACAGCGGTGTTAAACCCCCTTCCTGTCCAGGCCATTTTTCAGTATTCAGCGCTGCGGTACTTTGACTGACGTTTATTCAGTCATGCAATGCTGTACTGAAATTAATCTTATACCATTTTTTTGGGGGGGCATATAGAGCTTACTCTTGGTGGCATTTAATTACCCCTGGGGGGTTTTATTTTTTACTATATAATGAAAAAAGTTCAGAAAATTTTGAAAAAATATAGTTTTTCCCTATGTTATGAAACATTTATTATTATTAGGGATGCACCGATATATCGGCCACCGAAACATATCGGCCGAAAATGGCACTTTTGGCATAATGCCGAAAGAGCCATGTTTCGGCCGATACATCTGGTCATCCCTTGTTTATTTTCTCCCCGCTGGCCGCTGTTCCAGCGGGGAGATAAGAAAGTGACAGCCGCCGAGCGCTGCAGGAGTCAGGACGAGAGCGCTGTGAGCTGCGGCATATTATCCAATTTTTGGTAACACATGGAAGATGGTGTCATGTCGGGTAACTAGTAAAACAGCAAAAAGTTTTCCTGGCACACTCACAAGCTAGCATGTAAAAAAACTTGTCTCACACGCAGGTTAAAAACAGAGGTTTGGATACACGTCTTCTGCAGAAAATGCAAAGCTGACTGGCGGAACGGACGGGGGAGGGGCGGGCACAGCTGGCTTTGCCTCTAGATAGGCAGAGCCCGCTTTCACTCATGCAGCTGGTTGGATCTCCACAGTATTGTCACCCCACTTACCCCATAGTTCTCTTTTAACATGTCAGGTGTAATCGTTGTTTTCGCATGTAGGCGCACCCAATGCATATTTACGTTTATATATGCGGGGGACTTAAATTGATTTTGCTGTTTTAAAAAAAAAATTTTTTCCTATGATACTTTTTTTTTTTTTTACACTTTATTGCTATCGCACAGGGGGCTAAGCTCCATTCTCTACACATAGTTTGGTGTTCCTCAGGACACACTAGGGTCAGAAAAATGTAAACTTCTTTTTTTTTTTCTTCTGGTTTTGGATAAAGTGGTGGTGAGGGGTTAAAACCACTGTCAGGAATAGACGTTATGGGAAATCCACAATTTTGAGTTGCCACCAGAACAGCACTAGAGGTGATATCTTACAACAGGGACACTTCTTGCCGAATTGATTTCCCTGACATTGGAAAGATATTTTCTAACTTCCTGTTCTCTACAGGACAGAAAGGGAAGAGACAAAATATGGCAAAAAAAACAACCTGATAGCGGTTTTAACCCTCCACTACCGTACTTAAAATGAAAACAAAAAATTGGATTTAGATACATCAATGAATCGCATAGCCCAGTATCAGTTATATACATCTTTTTACTGTAATTTCAGATATACAAAGCTCATTCATTTAAAGGGGGTCTAAACCCTCTGTTTTTTTTGTCTATATCTACTGCTAGCAAGCAGTAGATATAGGCAAAAAGTAAAAAAAAAAAAAACCGCTTTAACTAGGTTTAAACTTACCTCGTTATCGCTATGCGCTCCCGCGCCGAGAATCAGGAACTGCTCGTACGGCCGCAAAGGATCTTGGGGCGGGAGCATGCGCAATTCCGATTCTCGGCCGGGAGACGAGCAGAGACGCAAGGTAAGTCTATGGACGCGTGCACCCGCATGCAGACACCGCTGGATCGCAGGGACAGAGCAGTCAGCGCTGGATCGGAGAGCCGCCACACCGCTGGAGGGACAGATGAAAACATCAGGAAAGAAGAAGATTGGAATAAGAGACATCATTTAAAGTAAGTGCTAACATTAACATGAGGGGGAGGGACTTTAATATCACTTTAAGCATCACAGAAAGCACTGATGAGATGTAAGGCCCCATTCACACTTGGCGATTCGCAAATCACGCGTTTGTCGCGCGATTTGCATTTTGCGCGATATTGCGCAAATGCTTGCATCAAAAAGCATTGAATCGCGGCAAAATCCGCTCCAAAAAGGGTCCTGCTGTAGCGACACACGACCCGCGACAGCAGGACCCTTTGCACCATTGCAAAGCATTGAAGAGCGATATCGCGCTGTAAATACCGCGCGATAAATCGCTCAATGTGAACGAGGCCTAAAGTCAGTGATCCTAATAACTCATCATATTATATTTCAGTTGTAGTCAGAGCAATATATTCTGATGTGTTAGTTAATTGCACTTTGTGAGTCTATTACACCTTACTGAATAAGCCCAGAGCATTAATGGACATTTATTGCAATTTAAGATACGGCGGCTGTTTATGATTTGTAACAGGATATAAAAACATTTTCCCCACACGTTGCTTTTTCTGGTAGGAAGGCTGTGGACTGGGCTAGACACTTTGGACAGGCTGAAGTTGTGGACCTGCTGGAGTCCTACAGGTAACTAGTACTGTGTTTTTTGATCCTCAATTCTTCTGTCCAGATGCTCTAGCACCAATTTATGTTATGTTATGTGTTTAGTGCTTCACAGGAGCCAAACAGTTTGGATGAAACATCTCTGGTCCAGGCTGGCAGCAGTAACCTCAGTGCAGAAGAGCAGGAACTCCTCAAAGTGTACCACCACAGTTTTGATGATGAGAAAGTGGACCTTGATCTGATAATGCATGTGCTTTATAACATTTGTCAAACTTCTGAGTCAGGTACAGTGTCATTAGTTGTCTTGGATGTCTTTCTTTGGTGTCCTTATTCATTGGAGACTGGATGACTCCTAAAGGGGTTGGGACATCTGGTATCTGCTGCTGAACTGACCTGTGTCTGATACATTAAATGTATCAGAAATACTTTTTCCTATACTCCATACAATATTTTGATCTTCAGCAATACTGATTATGTTTTGCAGGGGCCGTACTAATATTTCTTCCAGGATATGATGAGATTGTAGGATTAAGAGATCGCATTTTGTATGATGACAAGAGATTTGCGGATAATGCCAATAGGTATATATTTTTCAAGTGTGATGTATATTTCTGCAGTCAATGAGCACTTTGTAGGAAATAGTTTCAGTAGGGGGTGGACATGAAAACCTCAATAAATTACATATATAAATGATATTGAAGCTATTGGAGTCTATAACTATGTTCTCTTTCTGAACTGTGCAAGATTCCAGATATTCATGCTGCACTCAAACATGCAGACATCTGATCAGAAGAAGGTATTGAAGAATACTCCAGCTGGGATCCGGAAGATTGTAAGTGTTTTATTAAAGAGGATGTATTGTGTTTTGTAAATTATTTTCTTTCATGTTTGGAACTAAAAATTGTTTAAAATAGTTTTACATTCAGGTTTTTGTTAAATATTGCATATGACCCTGGATTAAATTACATCCCTTTTTACCCACCCAACTGTTTCCGAGGTTTAGGGCTGCAGCTAACAATTATTTTCATAATCGATTAGTTGCCCGATTTATTATTTCAACTAGTTGTTTTGGTTGCATAAAAAAAAACCTCCCCCCTCTCTCTTTCTCCCCCCTCTCTCTTTCTCCCCCTCTCTCTCTCTCTCCCCCTCCCTCCACCATCGATTAGTTGTTGCAGCCCTACTGAGTTTGTTCGAATATCGGTACAATGTGTCGTGGACATGTCCATGTCTAACCTTATCCGTTAAATCCTTAATGTTAATTTATGGTGGGATCCATGTAATGCGCTTTTGCTTAGGCCTATCCCTGCCTTGTCCTATTTTGAGAAGATTTTAGTTAGTCACATTTTTGTTGCCACTAAAATGAGCATAGCCAGAGCTTGGAAATCCCTGTCCCTAAGTTTTGAAGAGGTTAACAATTGTGTTAATTCTATTTTAGTTCATGAACGCTTTTTGCCCATATCGTGGGCTAGATCACGCACTCTAAACCGCCTATTTTTAGGACTTCTCTTTTGTCCATCTAAATTTCAGGCATCTTCGAGTTGCTTTACATTCTCTTTTCCTTTCTTACTATTCTATTCCTCTCTCCTTTTATCTTCTACTTCCCTCTTCGTCTTTCTTCCCTTACCTTTTTTACTTTTATCTCCCCCTCTTTTCTTTGTGACCCCAGGTTTCCACATCTCGGACCCCCTCCTTATTGTGCTCTACCTCTTCTCAATGCTCTTGGTTAACCCCAGCCTTCCCTGATCACCCAGTTACATTGGTCAGAGGTGATTTTATTGTATAACTGCCAGCAGTTAGCCACTCTGTTTTCACTGCTGTTTTGATCATTTGTCTTAACCATGCCTTGAAACAAACTTTTTTTGTACATTCAATTTCCTTATTTTAAAAAAACCCAATAAAAATGTTGTGAAAGAAATATTGAATGTGATATTTACATTTCCAGCCAGCGGCTGTACTTGTAGGCTCTATTTCGCGTGTTTCCCAGGGTGACCAAAGCTGCTTTACTGATAAAAGCCTGTTGTATGCAGCTTTCATAGCTCACTCTCTAATTTGCAAGTATAACATAGTCAGAAGACTTTGTACATTTCACCTTAGGAACTAACAAAGGTGAAACTAAGGTATAAATATTGCAAAACCCCATATAATTTCCCTTTATATGAAGCTCTGTCTTCGTTCAGCCAATGTTAGTCAACCCGTGGTGTAACTGATCTATTTTTTACAGATACTCTCCACTAATATAGCAGAAACCAGTATCACCGTTAATGATGTCGTGTTTGTTATAGACTCTGGCAAAGTGAAAGAGGTAAGTTAAATCGACTGTGGAGCTCTAAATTTTGATGTTCTGTTTTTAAAAGATCACCATTCACGCCAGGGTGAGGATTTTTTTTAGATATTGTGTGAAAAAAACATTTGAGGGCAGAATAGCAACACTATGTTTTTGTTTTTCCCTTTTACACTAATTATTGGACTTGTACTCCATGTAGTTGAAAACATTTGAATAGTTGTCACTAGAAAACATCTGATCTAATAGGAATGCAGACAATTGTGTTAATATTAGATGTGGTTATAATTAATTACCATCAGTCAGCACTTTTACCCACCTGACTGATAGAGGAACGGAGAGTCTACCCATAATGAGTGTTTGTTTTTCTGAAATTGCTTTGATACATTGCCAGTTTAGATGCAGGTGATGCCTAGCAGTGTTACTCTTTAATATAAAACATATACATTCACAAAGATGCTTGTTTTGTGTCTATATTCAGATAAGTAATTATGCAGGTTAAAAAGAAAATCTGGGGAAACTCCCAAACTCACCCATTGGAAGCTCCTTGCTGTCTTTAACTTTGGCCATACACTGTAATGTTTTCTTCATTCAACCTGCCCGCTGAACAAAGAACATATAACGGATTCCTCCATTGATGCTTACGAGCGGTGATTTCATTGTATTTTGACAGTGACCGGCGGCAGCTGATTGGCTACCGGCTCTGTTCGTTCAAGATTTTCTGACTGGCTCTTTTGATCAGCTGCTCAAGGGATGTTAGGCGAAAGGGTGTCGACAACGGCACCAACTGTGTGAATTTCAGCAGTTCATCAAGAACCGGACGAAATTCACATAGTGTATGGCCAACTATATATACATAGATATAGATATATAGATATATATATATATGTGTGTGTGTGTGTGTGTGTATATATATATATATATATCCTCATGATTGTTCCAGCCACCAATCAAATTTAGATCTGCACTGGATCTTTTATGTGATATAGGAGTCAGAGGGAAGGGAAGTTTCACTACATATGCTTCAGGAATTGCACTTCAAGCAGATTCCCAGTGTCCGCATGCCTGGTCACAGAGGATCAGAGAGCCCCGATTTATGGCAATCGAGTGAACATATGCTACAATATTCAGATATCATTAATGGCTCACATTTGTTGGTGCTTGCTTCTTAGAATTGTTTTTTAACATAACACTTCAACATTTTCTCCCAAAAGCATCCTATAAGTAATAATCTGCTCAATCTGAATCCTGGGTGTTTATTTCTTGCAGAAATCTTTCGATGCTCTAAACCATGTCACCATGCTAAAGATGGTTTGGATTTCCAAAGCTAGTGCTATTCAAAGAAAAGGAAGGTATTGACTTTGTAATTATTTATTTGAGCCAGGACAGAAATAAAACATTTTGCAGATGAATTAATCTACACGGGTTAAGTCTTGCCATGTAAAAAATAATTTATCCAAAATTCCTCATGGAGTTTTCGGCATGCAGTTCTTAAATCCCCCTCATATGCACAGGATACTTTGAGATTATAATTATCTATGATCTTTTGAATATTAAAACAACACCTAGAACTATACCAAAAACATGAATAATGTAAACAATTTTAGGGCTGCAACCAACTAATCGATAATGAAAATAGTTGTCAACTATTCTCATTGTTGATTATTTGGTTGGATCCCCTAGCTCTCTCCTCTACGCTGAGAGGAGGGCAGAGCAAGCAGTGGGCGGGTGCAATAGCCAGCCTGCTATTGGTTATTGCAAATTGAAAATGCCAATAGCATGCTGGTTATTGCACCAGCCCACTAACTGCTGTATTTACATTCAGCTGCCATCTGCAGAATCTTGCCACTGGTAGCTGTCATTCCCTGGCTGAAGCCATTCAAGCACCATGTGCTTACAATACAATTATTTAAAAAAATGTATAACGGGTGGGAAAAAAGTCATTTTTTCGGTTTCGGCCTGACAAATTCTGCTGCGGGAGGTACGTTGCAGTGCTATTCATTTCAGTGGCACCTCCCACCCACAGTGTGATCGCCCGCAATGGAATGCATGTACTGCATTGCCGTGCATTCCAATGCAGTGCGATGGCAAAAAATTATGCCTGCAGTTTTATTCTGAAGTAAACTTTGTAACACTCCATTTGTGTATTTTATTTTAAATTAAGGATGGTATTCAGTTTTTTTTTATCCGATTAGTCGAAAAAATTATTGGCCAACTAATCGATTATGAAAATAATCATCAGTTGTAGCCCTATACAATTTACATTATGTGAAAGTAGTAATTAAGACATTTACAATTGTGTATGTCAAAGTGTCCACAACTGTATAGAAAAGATAACTGTAAGAGAGTGTTGACATTTTTATTTAGTTTTGGATAGAGTGCAGAAGGGTTAGAGTGCCATTTGGGTTTTTACTGCTATCCGGGGCCCTGTTAGAGAGATGTACCTTCACTTGCTGTTCTGCTGATAACTGTTTCACCAGACAGGAAGGGAAGGAAAATGTGCAACAGGGAAACAGACTGAAATAACATGACAGAGGTTCTAGCCTTCCCTTACTCTACTAAAGAAAATATTTTTTTTATTTCTGTCTGTGTTATTTGAGAGTTATCCTCACTCCTTGTCAGACAAAATGTTGTCAGCAGGACAGAAACTGAAATCTAACGAAGCCCCGCATAGCAGTACAATCCTAACAGAAGTTCTACCACTGCCCCACTCAATCCAAAAGTAATAATGCTATACTGCCTCTGGCCCATTCAAACCTGATCTGTTGCGATCTGTTGCAATACGATTTTCAACGACTGCTAACAGAGGGGCACCAAAAAAAATGAATGGATGTGAATGGGGCTAGTTTACCCCACTCCGTTCTGTTGCGTTACTACTATTTTCAGTGCAACATAATGCAACGGATCCAGTGTGAACTAGACCCCATGCATACCCATTAATGTTTCGGGCCCCTTCCGTTAGCCAGAAATGGTACAAGCGCCTATTTTGGTGCATTAGGCAATTCAAATGAATGGGCTACCTTTAATGCAGTGCACATATACACATGTCAATACACTGCATCAGTATGAATGGGTCCTAAGAAATTGGGGCTGGAGGGGCCCACAATCTGACACATGCTTTTATTTTCCAGAGCTGGGCGCTGCAGACCTGGAATCTGTTTCCGCCTGTTCAGCAAGCTTCGTTTTCAAAATATGTTGGAGTTTCAGACACCTGAACTATTGCGAATGCCTCTTCATGTAAGGGCTACCTTGCTGATTTATAAATGAGTAATAATCAGAATGTAGTTTGTGTCAGGATGCTTTTAACGTAGTATGTTATTCCCTTCACAGGAGCTTTGCTTGCATACAAAATTATTAGCTCCTATTAATTGTCCAATTGCGGATTTTCTAATGAAGGCCCCGGAGCCACCACCAGCCTTAGTTGTACGAAATGCTGTTCAGATGCTAAAGGTAAACATTATGCAATCTATGTCAATGTGTTTCTTGTTTCATGTTTGTTTAGTTAAAACAGATTTCCTCTAAACACTGCAATTTCAATTTCTGACCCTCTCCACAGATTAAAAAAAGAGAGGCGTACCTTTCTGTCATAATGTCTGGGTTTCAGAAGAGTTGAAAGCTACTGCATTTGTACTAGCGTTCACCTGTTACACCACCTTATGGTGAAATCCAGTATTGCAGCACAAAGGATTTTTTCTAAAATCCATTCCATTTTTGTGATCATATTACAAGGGTTTGTCTGCTACAAGTGAAGCCCCGACTTCTTTTATCTCTCAAGGGCTTCAGGGTGAAGATACCTCTGCATAGTTTGGCTTACCTTGGAGTCCGTAATCATTCACCGTTGGGTTTTCCCACTCCTACTATTGCATTCTTCATAATATAAATAGTAAATACAAGGGATGTAAAGAACTGTTATGATTTAACTGTCCAGCACCTGCTAACTGAAATATACATTTTGGTGGATTAAATCTTTAAAGCATCCCCAATTTGTCCAAAATATCATCTAGCAAGAAGGATTACAGAACCTGGGTGCAGCTGTGCTTATTTTAACCCTCACATTTTAGCAGGTACCTTCCTACATATAATTCTTTTGGCATTTAAGAAAGATATCAGAAATGTGCCTAACACCAGGGGAATATAGAAAGCTGTGCTGCACTCGGCTGTGTGTATCACCTATGCTGCAACAGACTGCAGCACACCACAACACACAATTTGGGTTGCAGTGTACTGCACTGCAGAAAATGCAGCATAAATAAAATGTGTGTGTTGAGATGCATTGCAGCCCATTATTTTGAATGAGCTGCCTAATGCAGTGGACTGCAAAGTACTTCAATACATGTTTCAGTGCTGTATGTCCTGGTGTGGATGCCTTCTACTGCCCCCAGGACCTGGAGAGTGCCTGCTAAAAGCTGAATGTTGGGATTTAAAAAAAAAAAATATCCTTGCAGTGGGCTGCCTTCCCCCACACTGCAAGAGTTTACTGCTTGTTAAGTCTAGGTCTGCACCGACAGGCTTCCAATCGGTCCCCGACAGCCTCTTCTTTCCAACACTCTGACGTCACCATGTGCAGTGCAGGAACAGCAGTCTTGCATTGTACATGAGGATGCCAAGGGCCTACCCACAACCCATGGTGTCCGAGAGAAGAGGAGTACGCTAATACAGCTTATTCTTCTATCCCTAGATTTAACTGCAATGGTAATTTTATTAAACCTTTCCAGAGTCCAGCTTTAATAGTAGGGAAAGAGGTGGATCCCATTATTTTGTAAAATTTGTTTAAGTATTTGGCTCTGTATTGGACAAAGAACTGGGGCAGGGGGGTGGGGTTACTGGTAACCAATTACTTTTTTAGTAAGCTAGTGACTGTTGTCTCCTATATATGTTGTGAAAGGTGATCTATAAACAAATGCACTTTTAAACCCCAAAGTATTTTTTAAAGGCTTTATTTTAGGAACACATAATGAAGAGCCTTAAAATTTACTGTATAATATTTACGTGTTTCATAAAATGTTAAGAATAAATATATTTAGCAACTTTCTGAATTCACTGTAATTTTATGCTGCATACTGATTTAGTTGAATAAGCTCATTGTGTTGCTTTTCTTCTTTTAGGCAATTGATGCAATGGACACATGGGAAGATTTGACAGAACTTGGATATCACTTGGTTGATTTGCCAGTAGAACCTCACCTTGGGAAAATGGTGCTGTGTGCCGTGGTGCTGAAGTGCTTAGACCCCATCCTTACCATTGCCTGCACTTTAGCATATCGGGATCCATTTCTTTTACCAGCGCAAGCTGCCCAAAAACGTGCTGCCATGCTAAGTCGAAAACGATTTACCGCAGACACATTCAGTGATCATGTGGCTTTACTCAGGGCTTTCCAGGTATGGTGAAGTTAAACAAAATAGGATGAATAATTAACTTGCTCCTTTGAGATATTTTTTGAGTCCCCTGTATCTCTGTTAGGAAACTTGTGATGCTTTAATATAGGGCTGCAACTAAAGATTATTTTCATAATCGGTTAGTTGGCCGATTATTTTTCCAATTTAATCGGATTAAGTAAAAAATATATTAATATAATTTATTTAAAATAAAATACACAAATGGAGTGTTTACAAACATAAAGTTTATTTGAATATAATAATACGGTATGCACATTTAAAAACGTGCGGCATTGGAACGCAGGGCATTGCAGTACCGTGCATTTCAGTGTGGGCGATCACACTGCGGATTGGAGGTGCATTCGGGATGCCATCTAAATGAATGGCACCGCAATGCACCTCCTGCGGCAAAATTTTTTTGCCGAAACTGACAATTACTTTGCCCATTCAGAGGCACAGCATTCTCTCCTCCCTAATGGTGCCAGCTGCAGTGGTCTGTGTCACCTCTGCCGGCACCAGCAGGGAGGAGAACGGGGAGCAGAGTGGCGGCGGATTTAACTAATCGATAATAAGAATCGTTGACACTGATTCTCATGATCAATTATCGATTTTTTTATTTTATTTTAATTTTTTATTGATTAGTTGTTTCAGCCCTACTTGAATAGTCTATTTACTGACTGCTCAGTTACTCAGTTTTCTAATTAATACTTTGGGGTCTATTTTTAAATTTTGCACCCAGCCTTACGATATTCGAATTCCATTTGCACGGCATTCCTGCCACTAGATGGAGCCGAGGAGCATAAGAATTTACTATGTTCCTCTGCTCCATCTAGTGGCAGCAGAAGATTTATAAATAGCCCCCCAGTGTTACTACAGACAATTGGACTTTGCACTGTTATAAAATTAGTCAGGGTGGCAGTAGGTGAGAAATCATATGACCCATTCCACAAGTTGCCATATTTCTGCACATCATTCAGTGTCTGTGGAATAGAGGTTCATAATACAGCTAATGTAGGTTGACCACAATTCAGTAAATTATTTCATTATGTAAGACATGCCAAAATTTTTTTTTTTTTAATTCTTGTTTAATATACATGTAGAGTGTGTAATAATATCTATATGTATATCTTGCAGGCCTGGCAGAAAGCACGCAGTGATGGGTGGGAACGAGCCTTCTGTGAGAAGAATTTCTTGTCTCAGGCTACCATGGAAATTATTATTGGAATGAGAACACAGCTGCTAGGACAGCTCAGGGCTTCAGGTGATAGTCAGGCAATACATACAAATTGTGAGATTAGTTTTTCCATGTATGTCATTTAATGCTATGGTGCTTCTGTGCAGGCTTTGTCAGGGCTCGTGGAGGAGGAGACATCAGAGATGTAAATACAAACTCAGAGAACTGGGCAGTAGTAAAGGCAGCTCTGGTGGCTGGGATGTACCCAAACTTAATACATGTGGACAGAGAGAAGATGATGTTCACTGGACCCAAGGAGAAACGCGTGCGCCTCCACCCTAATTCAGTCCTCAGTCAGCCACAGTATAAAAAGGTAATCTCTATCATGGAAATGGGCAGTTGTATTCTTCTTTCATACTTTGTATTATATTATACTCACTATTTAACATCCTGGTACACTGACCCTTAGCTGTTAAAACTAAACTTTAGCAACAACTGAATCTACAGCTAAAATTCATGAAAGGGGGCTGTTTTACCTGACAAAGGATTTGTATTTCTGTTCATACGGTTCTAAGATTTACATAGCACTGCTTTAAAAAAAATACCTTTCCAAAAGCCCATGCTTGGACATCCGCTTCCCATCTCGGATGCAGGCACAGCTCCCCAGCCTGTCTCAGCTCACACTCCACGAAGAAAACTCTGCACACCAGGTTTAAAACCAGTGAATGGACAGTAAAAGAAGAAGACATGATCTAATTTCTCTGTCACTTAGCTCTCTTTCCGTCCAGCATGCTCCTTGCATTACTACACAACTGAATGGTTCCCTGTGCTGCTCCCCCCCGTCTTTCTGTACAGGGACTGCACGAGGCTGATACCAAGTCTAATTCAGGTACTGACACTGTTTGCATTTAAAGCTAGCTGTCAGGCTGTTATGTTGTGCCTTTGGCATCTGCATCACTGACATGGAATAGGTCTGAAAATCTTATTTATCTAACTTGTGATGCTGGGGATTTAACATATAATGTGTTAACTGGAGGCTGTGGGAAACCTAGTACTGTCACTTTGATACATTGGACTTTATATGAGAGAGCCTGTAGTGGAGATATTTGAGAAAGCCTCTCCTCTATTACTAATTAATGAGCTGTAGAATTTCCCTTTACCAGATTGCTAAGAAAAGAAGAATAGCAGTGTAATACAGCTATGCCCGCATGAAAAATGGAAACCCTCAGTAGGATAGCTGCGTATTTTGTATGCGTGTCAAGTTTAAGCTTTGAAGGAAAAAAGAAAATAGCACTGCGCTTCAAACTCAAAAAATATTCCTAAAATGTGAGAAAAATAGTATGAAATGTAAAATTGTCACAAAGGGATAAACAATTTTGTGTCATACACAGCACCTGTGTTGCACAATGCCTGTGCTGATGATAGTAAGAAAAAGCTCAAGGTCTAATGGTCTAGACACTATAAACCATAATAAACATAGAAAAAATCCGCCCACCTGATGCATTTCGTCACTATTGACTTCCTCTGAGGTATGAAGACCGTCGCCTCAGAAGTCAATAGTGACGAAATGCATCAGGTGGGCGAATCCATGCGAGCATTACAATAATTGAGATTGTAATGGACACTGTCCTTCCTTCCAGAGGGTGGCTACTTTTGTTCCCCATGTTCCCTGTGTGTGTTGTAAAGTAGTCACCACTCCATGCACACTCCCATGATGAACTACAATCTCACATTTAGTTTACTAATTTGTATTGAGATTGTAGTCCATCACAGGAGGGAGCTTGGAGCAGTGGCCACCCTCCAGAAGCAAGGACAGTGTCAGCATGAATTCAGAGATGATTTGAGGATCTACAGCCGAGTGATACACAAATAAGATACATTTTTGTTAATAGTTAAAAGAGAACTATGGGGTAAGTGGTTTTCCCCATAGTTCTCTTTAGGGTCACGGGAGGACATATATACTAGCGTCCTCCCGTGAACCAAAGTTCAGTATATCGCGGGCAATATACTCTGAGCGCCGCAGCCAGGACGGATCCCGACATTACTGCCGAGATCCACCCAGCTGCGTGAGTGACAGCTGGCTCTGCCTATCTAGAGACAGAGACAGCTGTGCCTGCCCCCTCCCCCGTTCGTTCCTCCACTCAGCTCTGGAGGATTGGAAAGGGGAGGGGGGGGATCCCTGTGGGTAGCGGTGACTGACAGTCACGGCTCTCTGCAGGGAGACGATCAAGAAGTAAGCAGACCGTGCATGTTTCTGCTCACTTCCCGATCGATAGATCCGACCTGTGACAGCTTCTTTGTCACAGGTCGGCTCTAACTATGAGGATGAGTGGAAATCGCTCACCTCATAGATCTCCTTTAAGGTACTCAAATGCATTTTTAAGATTTAACTCCTGAGTCTAGGGTCACTGTAAGAACTATTAAGGATTTATTAGCATTTGCCACTACTCTTTGCCTTATATAAACCCTCTCATGTATAGCAATTGTTGAGTGTCTGCTTATTTAGTTTATTCTCTTGCCATTGTTTAAGGGCGCGGGAGCACGCCCTTTTACAGTCTTACTCTGTGTTGTGTACCCTGCTTATAGGATGAGGTCTCTCCATTATAGGCTATACCCTTCCCCCTGTGTTAGCCCCTTCAGTTTTTACTTCATATCTTACGTGGCATATATTAGTAGATATTCTGGGTTTTTTTTAGCTCTTTGCTCCTCTAACAACTGGATTTGACCACCTACGTTGCTTTAAAACAGTGTCCCTGGTCTCCTAGACCCAGAAGATCAGCAATTTACACTTGAGTTAAAGCCTACCATGACACATGGAGATGTTTTGCTTCCTCTAGCTTTATCCACTGTCTCTGTCCCTAACCTCCTTGACTTAATAATCCTCCATCTGTTATTATATATGATATTTGTGGATTTTTAAATGACTACATCCACAAATACAGTAACTGTTCTTTTTCATTTCCTAGTTGTAGTAGGAGAATCTTTCCATTTGTGATGCTGGGGATTTGAATATATATATTGTGTTATATTTGCCTTTCCATTGTAATATAGACAAAACCAAATAAATGTTTACTGTTGTTGGAACAGATCCCCCCTGAGAATGGTCAGGCAGCAGCAATACAAACGTTGCCTACAGATTGGCTGATATATGATGAAATGACTCGGGCACATAGAATTGCGAACATTAGATGTTGCACAGCGGTTACACCAGTCACAGTAGCAATCTTCTCAGGACCTGCCCGACTGCCAAGCAATGCATTACAGGAGTCTACATACCACGGTAAGACATTCAGTGTGAGTGTGTAAGGCCGGAGTGTTGACCAAAAATAATAGTTTTGTTGTACCTTTTAGACCAACCACATTTAATGTACATAAAAGGATAGTGTCATTTCAATAACAGATATTAGGAGTTGGTATTTTAGTATTTTTATGTTCTTTTCTAGATTTGACATGCTTGCGTTTCCTAACTTTTATTTTATAAAATGTAGAGATTTGTAGATTAGCCATGACAACAAGTCTTCCTGACTACTTAAAACTCACCTCCATCCTCAACCCTCCCCACTTGTCTGAATCACAAGGTACTTCTTCCCATAGGCTGCTGCGTAGTTTTGATTTAAAAGTGACCATGTGTGGCTCCCTCTGCAGAGCTGCGTCATTCATTCAAAAAATTATTCACAGGATATGAATGAAAAAAACCCCACTACGGCAGAAGGACTTGTAGTTCTCAAAGGAGTACAAGTGTGGTGATGTCAAATACTTGTAGTCCATCGATAACTTCCTCCAGCTCCATAATCAAATACAAAAAAAAAGAATAAATGCACATTTGTTTTCTCTGTAAATATTTGTTATTTTTTTGCAAAAGGTGAAATATACCTTTAAAGTTAAGTCAAAACTTGGGGTTTTTGTTTTTTTGGGGATAGAGTGTGAAAGGGATGGACTCTGGTCAGGTTACTGTGTGCCCATATTGAGCTGGTCTACCCTCATTTTTTGTCATGGTGACCATTGCAACTAAGACAGAGTAAGGGGAATTCCAAATTTCCTCAGTGACAAAGGTAAGAAAGGATAATATTCCCTCACATTGGAAACCATTTCCACTTATTTCCTGTCATGTCACTGGGACAGGAAATTAGGGAAGAACATTAGATGGGGACACAGCCAGCAATAAAAATTTGACAGAGGTTCTAACTTTTTTGGTTGGAATTGTAGTTTTAACATCTGTTGATCTGACATCAGCAGGTACAAGAAGTATATTATTTTCAGTTTTTCAACATAGACTTGTATTGTGAAAAGGAGCAGTAAAGAACAACCATGGTGTAACACTACAAAGCAGGAAGCAGGGCTGTATAGGTAATGATAAAATGTCATGGCACCCATATGTACATATGTAAAAACAGCTATATATCAAAGCAAGCATTTTAAAACTTTATAACACATTAACAAGATTGCCATTATTCTGATCTCATTTTAATGTTTATCTTTAAATTAAAAAAAAACTTGGAAATACTTTTTTCAGTTTTAAACCACATTAGTAGAATTGGTAAGCACTATGATCAGTCCCAGAAGAAGTGTTTTGTACAGAGGGCAATATGTAATAGTGGATGCATACAGTTTAATACGTTATGTTAGGATCTCATGTCCATCAGTTTCCTCAATTATTTGATGTTAGATGCTGATTGCTTATTGAGGTCTTATTGTTGCTATCTATAAATCAATCGGCTCTGATTTGAAAAAACTTCAATCTGTGTATTGCAGCAAACCTAGATGGTGTTCCCAATGACAGCAGCGACAGTGAGATGGAAGACAGGGCCACAGCTTTGTTGACGTCTCTTAAGCTGGATGAGTGGCTACAATTTAAGCTGGACTCTGAGGTAATGTTCGCTAGCACAAATATATCCGTGTGTTTCACAGCATTTTTCTTTTTAATCTAACAGCTTTATTTTAAAGCAAAGGCACAATGGATGCACCAGTTATGCTAAATGCAAGAGCTTTAACCCCTTCATGACTGAGGCCCTTTTTTCATATTTTTTGCACCCATGTTATATTCCACATTTTAGGCCTGAAAATGACGTAAAACCCCCCAACATTATATATTTTCTGAATGCCAAGACCCTATAGAATAAAATGGTGGGAGTTGACGCATACCGTCGCTCGCTCACTTCTCGATCCTGTCCCTGCAGAGAGCGGTGACTGTCACTCAAGGCTCCCTGCAGGGATTTCCCGCTCCGATCCTCCATCGCTGACTGGCGGAACGGACTGGGCAGGTACAGCTGTCACTGCCTCTAGATAGGCAGAGCCAGCTGTCACTCACGCAGCTGGGTGGATCCAGACAGTAATGTCGGGATCTGTCCCGGCTGCAGCGTCTCCGTATACCTCGTAGCTTGTGGTATACTGAGCTTTGGGTGACGTGAGGATGCTAGTTTCTGTCCTCCCGTTACCCATACCCTCCCGTTACCCTTAGGAGAACTATGGGGAAAAGCCCTGACCTCATAGTTCTCCTTTAAGGTAGTGTAATATGGATTACATCAAAAGGAAGAAAACCATATGACAATCTTTTACATTATTTTGATATTGTTGGTTTTAGAGAACATCTTGTGAACAACTTTAACTGAATGGCATCTACAGTAGTTTGCTAAAGAAGTGTGTATCACAAATAACTGAATAACTGATTTATTTTTTTTAGATAAAATACTTGTATTTACCTTTTTTATTCTTTGCTTTATTCTGGTGGTGCTGAAAATTTGAAAATGACCTGAAAGTGATATTAGCATGTTAAAGCTTATATGAGATTTTAGTCTTTTTTGGTTTACATATATTTGAAATTATCACAGCCAGTGGTGGATTTTAGAATGTTATGATGAGGTTATAGTGAACCTGTGGGTAGACTATGCACACTAAAGTATGTACCTTATTCTGCACAAGGAGTAGAAACAAGCTCTCATTCACCTCTGTAGCTATAAGCATTGTTGAGAAATTCCTTGTCACAACAGAGGCAATTAAATCTTAGCTCTTTTTCTATTAATTTCTATTACACCATAGTGGCAGCTTACCAGTCTTTTAATGTAAACAGAAAGCAGATGTTTCTAAGCTGGTAGAAACTGGTGACTTTAGAGCCTTGTTGTGATCTTATAGGAATGAGTAACTTTATAGTACGTGCAGCTAGAGAGGTCAGGGATGGCTTGTTATAAAGTTATTTACTGCATGTTAAGGATATGCAAATACTTTAATGTCCCTAGTCTTGGCACAGAATAAGCAGCATATTTACATGTCTGTGTCCTGTTGGGATCTTTGCTGTATGTTCATTTTTGCATGGCACAGCTTCATTTTCACAATCCTCCCACTTAGGCTATGCTACTTTGCCATTATCTCCCTTCTTTTTAATGGAAGGTTGTTACAATACAGTGTGTGAACTTCATAACTCCCTAGAGCATGTTTGTAGTAATTTCATTACTGTGCAGTGTTTGCTAATTTGTATGATTGAAAACATGTTTTTTTAACACTTTGCATTTGCTAGGCTGCTGGTCTCCTGCTACACCTGCGGCAAAAGTGGCATAGTTTGTTTCTGAGGAGAATGCGGGCACCCTCAAAGCCATGGACACAAACAGATGAGGCCACCATCCGAACAGTAATTTCTGTGCTGAGCACCGAAGAACAGTCTGCAGGTTTACATCAGCCCTCTGGAATCGGGCAGAGACCAAGACCAATCTCTTCTGAAGAGCTTCCTGTTTCATCTTCCTGGAGAAACAGTAATGGCCGTAAGAGCTCAGATACTGACTTTTCTGATGACCTCTCTCATCTGGACAGGTATTATTTCTGGTATATTGCTACATCAGGATTTACGGTTACTGTAATTGTGCTAATTTTACTAACAGGTTTCCGCAACACCGTTTGCTGTTCATGTAATTACAAAATTTTGGGTGTAAATATAAGGGATAAGTGAATCGATTGGCATGAGTCAAGATTAGCAGCATATTCAGTCAGTTTGCTCTGAACTGGGGTTTTTCAGGAAATGGTAATCTTCACCAGCAAACCGAATTCACTAATTCGGTGGTCCAAAGGAACCTTTACCAGTTCACTCCCAGTTCTGCAGTGTGGCAGCAGACCCTCTGAAACCACAAGTCTTTACTCCAGTAGAATTTAATTTGTTTTCAGAATGTTTTTTTAAGTTTCCAATAGTTTAATGGGGTCAACTCGACGATTGATTTCGACCATTGTGACAAAACAATGGAAGGAACAAACAAAATTCTAACCATGAATGTCGTTTTTAGTTCGAGAAACTCCATTCATTTGCAAAATAGAATGTTAACGCCAAACTCCAGCATTTAGAAAAAAATTCAAATTTACGCACTGCACTGCAATCTTACCTTGCAGCTTGCCGTATCCCGCACATAATGCCCAGCTTCCAGGCACTATTGGGGAGTGAGAAATGCAACTCCAGCAGTAAAATGCTCTGGTCGCATTACCCGCCCTCCTCACTACTTGCCCATTCACAAAAAGAATGCAAGGCTATCTGTGATTAGAGAAGGAGAGATCATGCCACATCCTTGTTCTTTCCTCCAATCACAGAATACCTTGTATGCTTTGGAAAAAAAAAAAATATATAAGTCAACTGATTTTCACCCCATTCAAAGAGTGTTGCAGCCATTATTATTTTTATTTTTTGTATATTGCAGAACGATTGTGAAGTCTCCTCCAGGTTTAACTCTACAGGTTAAAAATAAAGAGAAGGTGGTTTTAAACCCAAAACGCCTTGAAGATAAATCGGATCAAATGTTGGGGAAGTTATCGGAAAGCATTAGTTGCACCAGTCCCTGTACAAGCCCCTCCTCACCTGCTTCTGTCAAGGTAAGGATCTGAGTAATTGCAGACTTTGCTCATTTTTGTAGCAGCTGTCTCTGTTAGGCTGTATGTTTTCTGAGAGCTAGTACAGACATTACTTGCTGACATAAAACATGTGCTTTATGTAAACCAAGACACCTGAGCCTCAGGCCTCTTAGCTCACAGATGTATGCTGTCTCTTTCCATACTGAACAGTGAATGGTGGAGGCATAAGAAATATGGTTTCAATGTATTAAATAATGAAAGCAAGAAATAAAATATCCAGATGTCATGCATATAACGCGTTTTAAAAAATTGTAAAAATTCCATTCCAAATGTAATTGAAATTAATAGTAAAAATTACAAATGCAGAACAAACGCTTAGTGACCACATCAGAGAAAATCTGGACTGCATTAAATTGGAACTGCAACTAGATTTTTTTGTTTGTGCAGCATAGAACCTCTGTCAGTTCTTTTTTTTCTGTGTTGTGTGTTTCCAGTGGGTAAATGAAGATCAAGAATGTCACCAGCACACCATTGATCAATGCGTTGGCATGGCATTGTTGGATGGCACGCGTTGGATGGTATTGTTGTGTCATTAAATGGATTAACTTCACTTGATCAATGGTGTGCTGGTGAAATTCTTGAACTTCATGTATACTTCACGGTGCCGTCCATGGTCACTACAAGCACCTGCCTGACTTTAACAGGTAAACTACAAATCCGGTAAGGAGTGCAGCAAGATACATCTATATTTTGTCAATTGGGTAGATTACTCATCATTTCCTTTCCCAGGCACACAAAAGAAAGGAAAAGGTGATGCCCCCAAAGAGTAGGGAAGTGGCATCTTGTGTGCAGTACAGGTCAGAATCGTTATCAGATTTTCCTTCTACCCCCTGTTCCTGTGATGAATGGGAAATTTTTGATTTTCCCTAACATTCCCAGATTCAAAGGCTTACAGGACAGGAAATTAGGTTTTCTTCAGTGTGGACATGGACAATGAGACCTGAACTAGAAAAATGTTTTGACTTGAATTCCATTTTAACCATTGAAAGCAAGAATAAAAATTAGATGGGGAAAAAAATTGACCTTAACTTTTATTCCATTTTATTCTTTTAGGGTGAGTTGGATATAGCAAGCAGTCATCTTTTATCTTATATATGTACTACACACTAGTAGATTTTCGATTTAAAACCCTTGTTCGATTTTAGCTCGACTTCCCCATCAAGCAAAGTCAAATATCGATTTCGGAAATCATTTGTTATACATATTAACCCAACATATTTTTTTGAATTACAAAAATGATCGTTTCACCTATGCAGCAGAATTTTTCCATTTGCTTCCATTTGGGGTAAAAAACATAAAGACACCATCATACGGTTTAAACTCCTATAACCTGAAATTCACACACCAAAAGGAGGGACTATTTAAATAGAAGATACATTTGTTGTTTTTCTCCCATTCTCCTTCCTTTTGTGCATGTGCTTGCAAAGATTTTTGATGAACGATAACCCCCACCGATTGATTTTTGTTCGGGCCGAGAAAAGTCTTCCAACCTCACCAATCGAAAATTTTCAAACAAAATAACAAAAACTAAGTTTGTGGTGTCTTATCAACTGTTGCATGATCCATTCGTTTTCTGAACAAGAATCGCAGTGTATAGCCACCTTATGAAAATGTAATAGCTGATTGGCTGTGCTCCTGTTGAGACAAAATTTGTGTCAGACACTTTTTATGAATTATCCCCATTCACTCTAATTTTAGAAATCTTGACTCTAAAGTGAAATTTTGAACTGGTCTGATATACTATTAATAAAAAGTAGTGCGGATAATTTTCATTTACATGCAGTCAGTATAGGGAAGTGGCTAAAAACCAAGACCCTTAATAATTGGTTCATTACAGTCTCATCAAATTGTTATAGACTTGGTTTATGTCAATAGCCAGCACATGTTCATGAGTATAATGTATATTATTCTATAATCTGTTCTAGTCTTCAAAGTCTCCTACACCACGTCCAAATTTATCGGTGCGTTACTTTATAATGAAGAGCAGCAATCTGAGAAACCTTGAGATCTCCCAGCAAAAGGGAATCTGGTCCACCACCCCAAGTAATGAGCGCAAGCTGAACAGAGCATTCTGGGAGAGCAGCACCGTATATCTAGTGTTTTCTGTTCAGGGATCTGGACATTTTCAGGTTGGTATAAGAACAGAGAAATGTCCATAGGCAATGGATATGCACACCTGTGTATACCATTCAGGACCAATGGGTGCAAGTTTTCTGTGTCTATTTCTTTTGAGTTTTATACCATAATTGCCATCAAACATCCATGCTTGGCATCAGCTCACCCTTGCCTGACTGTATAGGCAGCTATTGGCTATATGGCCAAAAATGGCTCATATCACTATTCAGAGCTTGTAGCTGCCCAGCTTTCTGTATCACTGCTTCACTTCCTACCTGCTCATTAGCCTTTGAATATAGATTACCAAATTGATTTGTGCCTTTCTCCTCCTGTAAGCCCCCAGTGCTTGAAACAGGTTGGATTGACACCACTGTAAAATTGTAGTGTGGTCCGTCAAATAATCTTTTGCACATTCGATCTCTCACTCCACATTTTCTCCTTCTCAAACTATAACTGGGAAGCCATGAAAAAATAACCATACAGTTTGGGTTTTGACTCCTGCCACATGATACTACAGTAGTTGCAATATGTTTCATTGTGATAAATTGAACACTGCAGTTTTACGAAGGACATAAGGTATTGAGTATTTGTGAATAAATATAAATCTATTTTTGCATGGATTTGTCTTTTAACTATTCTGTTTACTTGCAGGGATTTGCAAGAATGCTCTCAGAGATTGGCCGAGAGAAAAGCCAGGAGTGGGGATCCACATGTCTTGGGGGAATCTTTAGGGTGGAATGGATACGGAAAGAGAACTTGCCCTTCCAGTATGCCCACCACTTGCTGAACCCATGGAATGACAACAAGAAGGTGCAGATAAGTCGTGATGGACAGGTAACTTTTAATCTTTTTTGTTGTTAGTTTGTGGACACGGAGGTTAATATCTGTATACATTCGCATGTAAACTTACTAAACTGTAAGCTCATTTCTAATATGAATATGTTTTAGAGGATAGCTGTACTTTGCCCATACCAGTCAAATCAACAATCTCACTTTATAGGAGACTCCAGATATAGGAATTACTTTCCTTCCCTGTGCTGCAAAACCACCCTGATTTGGGAAATTCATGCTACTTTTCAGGAAATCATGTGGCACTGCCCCCTTCTCCCAATAATGTATTGATGGGTGCCTAAACAACCATTTGCTAGACACTGGGCTCTGTCAAATGGATATGGAGGAGCCTGACTAGTCCTGTGCAGGTCTCCACCTTCAGAAAGTTAAAACTTTAGCAGTGAGTACTACCTGCGTATGGTGCATACAATAAACCTTTTACTTTGCCTAGTGTGGACAAAGTTCAGGTTTGCTTTAATTTGAATCTGCTTCATTCCTTGCACTGCACAAATAGTGCTTTTTACTCACTGACTTGGAATTGTGAAAAGGTTCTGTGGACTGATGCATGATTGTTTCAATAAGTTTAATGAATGTTCCTTGTGTCATTAGTAGAGATGAGGCTGGGCCTGGCGCAAACCCAGTTCACTGGAGTTCGCTCAAGCCCGCTCAAGATTCTGGCTGCCAACCCCTCCTTCCAACCCAATCAGGGTTGGCATTTGTGGGGGTCATTCCTTGCCCTTTGAGACATATGGCTACGGGGTGAGTAACTAATTGGGTTAGGTGGAGTGGGTTTGGGCAAAATCGGGTAAACTGGGTTCGCACCAAGACCTGACTCATCACTAGTCATCAGTATAATGTCTACGGTAACTGTTGGAATTCAGAACAAGGTTTATCGAGCTTAAGATTTTACTTAAAAATGGTTGTGTGGACAAATGTGGTTCTCTTTTGTGAATTATTAATAGACATTCCGGAATTTGGGGCTTTAACTCTAAAACAACTTCCAGTGCTCCACAGGAGCACAATGCCAGTACTTTCTATGCAAAATGTTTGCTGTGCAATCCGATTGTAATGATAGTCTAACTAATTTTTGTCCATATTTTTTATATTTTCTAGGAGCTGGAGCCTCAAGTAGGGGAACAGTTGTTGCTGCTTTGGGACAGAGTTCCTTTGGGAGACAGAAGTATTTTGCACTAACAGGCTAAACTCAGGTACCCTTTTATGTTAATAAGTTTCTGTCTGTACATATTTGTACATATTTCACAAAACATATTTTGGAGGAACCAAATAATTATTTTTGTATATAAGAAAATACTGATATATTTTGAAGGTTATTTTAAACCATATGCTCAATTAACAAAGTTAGCACACAAGACCAAGGATGTGTAGTAAAAACAATTGGAGTATTTCCAGATGAGTTCAATGAGATTTGACAATTAAGTCCCCAAAGCTAAAGTAAAGGTCCTTATGAATGTGTAAAAGCTTTGAGAGCTGAGCCTAATGTATAATGTAGTATCATTATATTTCATTAAATCAGTTTAGAGTTTACTTCTATGCTAAATGAAAGTAATAATTACAAAATATGCCACCATAGTATGCACTGAGATCTTCTTTTTTTTTTTTTAATGATTCATTTTATTAAGTGTTTTTTAGTTACAAAAACAACAAAGTAAAAGAGAAACAAGAAAACATAGCATACATACGGGGGTTCTGCCTTTAAGGAGTAAAGGAGGACCAATAAGAAGAATTGGAGTATAAGAGCGCACCGGAGCTCAAGGCCCCAGAGCAGCTTCCTTAGACATAGTCAAAACAGAAGGAGCCCCCCTTCCCCCTGTAGACCAGACATGGGAGGGCTTCATACGAGCCAAGACTAACCGCCTCAAAAACATTTGCCACATCACTGTCATCTTTCAGTAGCCACCTGTGTACTATTTGGCCCGCAAGATAATATTTACTAAAAATCCAGTAGAGCCAGCCCCCCTTAGTTCAAAGGTTTTTCTAACAGTGTACAGTTAATGCGGGGAATAGAAGTCCCTCAAAGAAAGGAGTCCAAGAGCTGATTAAGCTGAAAAAGAGGGTTAAATCTGAATCGGACAGTTCCTCAGGAACAGGTAGGATTTTCATCTTCATCGTGTGTATTCTGCCAATTTGGGACAAAGGAAAATGTTTCTAGGCTTGCAACTTAGATTTAAACACAAGATCACAAGTAAGGGCCACACATTCAGGAGCAGATGATCAGTTAACTGAAAAAACTAGAGCTGCAACAGTTAATCGATTTAGTCGATTAAAATCGACGATTGAAAACGTTACCAACGTTTTCAATCGTCGATTCGTCGGCTATCAATTGATTTCCCTGTTCGGGGCTCTACACGCGGCCTGAAGCCCATTCCACCATCATACTCGTCCTCTGCAGCCCATTCCACCATCATACCCGTCCTCCCTATTCCTGCATCATATCCGTTCTCTCCAATAACGCCAGCTATAGAGGAATACATCAGATCCCAGCAATAATACATTATAGTATAATGTACTATTGCTGTGATTTGCTGCATTCCTCTATAGCTGCTGGTATTCTGCACTGGGCTGCTTTATAATGTACTATATTGCACACCACCCTTTTTTTTTTTTACTTCCACCGCTCCAGGCTTGCTCCCGTGATGGACTACAATCTTAATACAAACTAGTAGTCTATCACTGGAGACTTTTTTTTAAAAATCCGATTAATCGATTAATCGAACTTAATAATCGGCTAACTAATCGATTATGAAAATAATCGTTAGCTGCAGCTCTAGAAAAAACCCACTGAAAACCCAGGAAGACTGTCATGCTGGAGGAGGGGTGGGGATCTGCATAGGCTGCAGTGCATTAATTTTCCTTATCCTGCAAATCCATCCTAGCCAATGAGAGGCCTTGATGCCTATTCTGACTCCGATCGTTGTGATAGCGATATATCCTTTGCTGAGACCTCTATGCCTGGCCTGTATAAGCAGATATACTCACTGCGGACAATCCTTGTCAGATAGCTGAACTCGTCAATACCGATTCATTCAAAAGAGGTGTTTATTCTTAACATCAGGGTTACAGCAGATGATAGGAACAGCAGATTGAATGGTTTCAGTATTGTGCGGTCAGAAAATGATGCCTTTTCTAGCATACTGCGCAGAGTATATGTGTCCTAGTTACATGTGGCCTGTAGCTGTGGCCATGACACAGGAAGTACTGCACTCAGGAAGAAGGGAGGGGCATACATAAAAGGAACTGAGTCATCGACCTCAGTGATAATCAAGGAAGGTAACATTAAAAAATACATACACTACCACAAAAGGCCACTAGATGGCAACATGTGAACTAAATATAGATGCTATGAGAAAATGGCATAGGGAAATAACCATGTCATTTCTTAACTATATCAACATGAATATAACTGAGGCTATGTCATATTCTACGCCCCATTGGGGCGGCACAATGCCTGAGATGTACTCCCCCGTCATAAATGCTTTGAAAGTACAGATTTTCTTTTAAGCTGAACTCCGGGTTAACAGATAAATGACAGACAGCTCTACTTTAAAGCACAGTCCTGTCTAGCTTCCATAAGTAACACTTATGCACACCTTGTCCTTCCCCCAACCTGTGAGTGGTCAAAGGAGAAGCAAGAGGATAATCAGCTCAAGTCTTTGTTATTTTGATCTCTCCATCTATGAGCAAGTGGCTTATAGTGCATGAGATCTGCAGCCAAACTGACCTGTTCCTTGTGCAGCCTCTCTCCTAGTTTGACCTCTACTGTGTAGGTACTGCAAGAGGCTGACTGCCAGGTTAAATTACAGTACTTACTTAATTTAAAGCTGTATTGGAAAAATATAGAACTGTCTTATTTAGTTGTTTTCTTTGGTGATTTTATTTTACTGCAGATGATTACAGTCTACATGTAGCCATGCTCCTAAAAGAAGTTCTCTGCGTAAAACATTTCACATTACACTTTACTATGTGGTGCAGCTACAACTCATTTATTTTGCAAAGCTCAGTAATAGGCTTTGTCTGGATGTCTTTCTCTGGTTCCCAGACTTGTGGCAAGTTGTGATGATGGTAACCTCTGTGGTTTAAAGCAATAGCCAGCTCTCACCAAGAGAAAACATTTCTTGGTAACAAACCCACAATTATATAGGTAGACAGGCGCAGTAGTCCAAAGCTTCTTTGGTTTCCTAGAATTGCACCAGAAGTAGTGGCTATAGCAGTCCCTCACAGTGGTGAGTCCCGTTAAATAAGATTTAACAAAAAAACCTCTGTAAAGGAAAGTGAGTAGGTATAGAGGCTGCCAGTGCCGACCTGCTCTTCTAAAACAATAACAGGTTCCTGGCTGTCATTCTAGTCCAGTGACTTCAGTACTTGAGTCTGAGTTTCTGATTAGGAACAAGTATGCTTTTGATATATTTTTAACTGTGTTTTTGACCCCTCTGTGTGGTAGTGTAGTGAGTGTCTCTCCTTGCACCTTGATTTTAGTGAAGCAGGAGCTTTGACCTCTGACTTCATCTACATCACCATCCTTTTGCCAGATATAATGATGATTTATGAGTGTATTTAATCAATCATGGTAACCAGGGGGGGACAACGGTTCTCACTAAGCCAGCCTTTCCCAACCAGGGTGCCAAACCAACTTAGGGTGCCTTTTGGCTTCCTCAGTGGTGCCTCAAAACTTTCACACAGCGTCTTCCCTTTCCATGGAAATTAATAATGCCAATACAGGGAGGGTGGGATACATGCAAAAAAGGACAAAAGTTTGGCTTGTCCAGGCCTGCTCCACCTTCGGCCCTTTGCCAAGCTGCTGCAGTGATTCTAATGTGAAAAGGGACTCTGATGTTTGGTTTTCCCCTTATAATCCATACCAGATGTCTATCTAGGGGCCATATGTTTTAGCCTGGGGCGCTTCAATATTTTTGCCTACTTTTAACCCTTTCACTGCCAATCCTTGCGTTCCACTTTTTACCTCAGCTGGCAAGACTGGAGTTTTTGCGTTTACCACCAGAAGGATATCTCTAGTTAAAACAAGAAATGGCATAAGCCCCCTTTCAAATACCTCCATAATTGTTCCCCAAAATATCATTCCAGTTGATGTTGTCAACTCTCTATTGGCCCATGGGGCCACTTGTTATACTTGTGGGACAATAGGGAGTTGTGAAGGAGCGGGGCCAAGTATGATTGTATCTTGTGATTAATATACTTTAGGGACATTAAAATTGACAACGGGGTCACATTAACTGTGATTTTCAGTTCCTTGACCGATGAAAGCTCTTTCTGGCATGAAACTGCAGTCTGTGCCCTGGCACTGACACAACACTTGGCACAATGTTTACAGGCTTTCATGAAGTAATTAATGCAAGACAGGAGTCTTGTTATTAATATTGACATCTCCATCCAGAACAGGAACCTTTGTCCAGACAGTCTTGAAAAGGCTTTATTCCTCAATTACTGCAATCATTGATAGCTGAGATGACAGGAGCTACAATCTCCTGGGGAAAATGAAAGGATTTTCCTGCAGCCTGTTCTCACTAATGATCTCTTCCTCCATGTCCCATGCCGTTTAAAGGTGTGAAAAATCAATAGGAAAATAACAATGTTGTGTCCTAAACCCCTCCAAAGCCTTTAAGCTTACCTTCTTACTGTGTTTTTTTTCTTGCCTTACTGCATTCAAGGACTTCTACTAATTATGTTTATTCTTTACTTTGCATAAAAGAATCGCACTGTGCAAAGAGCATTATAGTGTTATTTAAAGCACAATCCACAAAGCATTGAGGTGTACTAAACCGTTGTCCTAAGCTGTTCCTCATTGGTTGCTGTGCATTATGCTAGTTCTGTTCTCTTTGTAACAAGTAAAGCTCTCGGTGAGTGCCATTTTCATGTGTGATATTAGGTTAAAGGAGAACTATGAGGTGAGTGCTTTTCACTCACCTCATAGTTCTAGCCGACCTGTGACAATGAGACTGTCACAGGTCGGCTCAGTAGATCGGGAGGTGAGCGAACACATACCGGGTTCGCTCACCTCTCGATCCTGTCACGGCTCTCTGCCGTGACAGGGGGAGGGGCTGGATTCCCCTCTTCCCGCTCTGATCTGCCAGCACTGACTGGCGGAACGGACGAGGAGGGGGCGGGTACAGCTGGCTCTGCCTCTAGATAGGCAGAGCCAGCTGTCACTCACGCAGCTGGGCGGATCTCGTCATCTAAGTCGGGATCCGCTCCGGCTGCGGCGTCTCAGTATACCGCAAGCTGTAGCTCGCGGTATATTGAGCTTAGGGTAACGGGAGGACGCTAGTTTGTGTCCTCCCGTTTCCCCAAAGAGAACTATGGGGAAAAACACTGACCCCATAGTTTTCCTTTAAAAGAGGGCTAACACAAAAAGCTCTGTAAGGATGAATGCTTTGATGAATATCTGTGAACCAGTCTCACTCTTTTTGATCTGTGTTCAGTTTGTTCCTGACTAGAATTGTTTGAACCCTATGGGAATACAGTAAGGGCTTGTTCACACCAAGCGCGGAGCAGGTGCAGAGCAGAGCAGAGCAGGTGCAGACCGGATCAAAACTGCGTCCAAACTAACCATTAAGATTTAAACTTTTTCCATTGCTTTAGTTTGTCAATTTAGTGTTGCATTAAAAAAAGTATAACTTTTCATTTGTGAAAAACTGCAATGCTTTGTACCAGAATCTGAATTTTAGTCATTTTATGCAGGCCAAAATATAGAATAAAAGGTATATTTCTATCTACAGTAACACTGATTTTATTAATTTTTTACTAACTGATAAAATTAGACAAAAAGTGAATTTTTTTCATTTATGGTTTTGGTCTTCGGATTGCATAAAAAATTTTTTTTTTGCAAAACAAGATCACAAAAGAAAACCTTGTTTGTCCGAAAAACCCCCCAATGTATGTATTTTTTTAAACTCTTAATTAAGTAAGGATAAAGTTAACTTTAAATAAACAGACCCATGGCAGAAATATAAAAACTGCTGTGGTGTACATGGGTGAGAGCTGAAGTAGTTAAAGATAATTTTTACTGAGTTTTTAGTTGGACATTACAGAAACAAAAAGCGGATAGTATTGATCTCATTAAACAGGTATTAAGCAGGAAGCATTAGTTCAAATATCAAAAAATTAAGATTATTTTTAAAAGGTTAACTTTTCCTATGATATCTAGGGGAAAAGAAACACATTTTTAGTAGTGAGGAAATGTTAGAACATTTGACTATACTTTTGTATTACTGCATTTGCCTTTTTGTGCAGATGGATTGTTGCAGTAGTATATTATGGACAGGAAGTAAAGGGGAAATCCCCAAAATGGGATCACAGAGAAAAATACAAATCTGACTGAAATGTTTACATTTTCCCTTATATTTTAGGCAGGAGTTATACTTTAATCCATCACATCTTTTTTGAATCATAACATTGGGTCATAGATAGGTTTCAAACTACTGAGTCCCCTCAGGATTGATGATGCTAGAAGAGTCATTGTGAAGAATGGCCAAAGTGATGTAAAAAAAAAAAAAAAGCAACTTGAGATGTAACATTGACTTTCAGGCCTGCCTTGTAAAATGGCAATTACCAAAAAATTATCTTTGCTTTTAAAGTGGCTTATTTGTATAACTTTCACAGGAAGCATTATATGCAGACTGGATACTCGGTAGTCCAGTGACTTCCCTTCGGTGGCATTTAATTTGACCCTGGTCTGAATTTCCAATACCACCAAGTTAGGTAACCCAGCCACTTAAAAATGTTCAACTGCTACAGAAGCTGCAAATAGTTGACCGACATGCCCAGAACCACAGAAAAGACATAAGTGCTGGTCATGCCACAACTGGATGTATATGCCCTGTGTGCCCATTATACTTTGAATATCAAAGTTAAATGGTGAAGTGTTGCAGTATACCATCAGAGTGCAAAAACCCTGAATTTGACTACATTGCGAAACAATAGATCTGATAGAAATGCCTGTCAGGCGCTGGGTTTGATGAATAATTATCTCCTTTTTTTTTTCTTTTTCCTTGGCAGGTTTTAAAGTCTTGATGTACTGTGAATGCTCAAAGCCAGTTCTAACTGACCCATCTTTGTATAACAGCCTATTCATCAGTTTCGTTAACTGCCCTAATATGTTTTCAACCTTCCTGTGTTGATCAGAAATGCCAGACACATAAGAATAGCACTGCAAACAAGTGCCCTGGATCAAGATGGGCAAATTAGGTACTCTCAGCCGGTCAGGATGGGAAATTCAGTGACAGTTGGAATGGGAAATTTGGGAATCTTGCCCATTGCTTGACAAATTTTCTTGTATAAAATTCACTTTGTCAGCTTTGTAAAGCAAATTGCACTGTTTTAATGTTCATCATTTGTTTTATGACCTTTTCCACATTCATTCTAAACCATATTCTTTTAAACTGCAATAATAGCATGGACTTGTGGTTCTGTTCACCTTACATAATTGCAGGATACTTTAAGGAAACATGCATGATCAGTTTCAGTCCAGCAGCTATTGATCAGTTAAAAATACACAGGAATACATAGAATTGTAGTTTACACACTACTATACAGGCTATATTTTCAGAAAATGTGTTGTACCTTGATTCCTTCTTAAATAATTTCATTTGTATATGTAAATGGGAGCCTTTGAAGCATATATATATCATTGAATGTATATATTGACTCTAAATGTTGAAGAAATAGCAAAGCAAGCTAGGACTTCTAGCATTGCAACAGCTGGAGTGCTAATGGATGTACCTGGAAGTTCTAAAATGAGTTACATTTGGGAAACTTGTACAGGTTGAAACTAGGCACTTTCTGGGCACCGTCTTCTTTTGTTTTTATTTTTTAGAAGTGCATGTGTTTCTTTCTGATGTACAATTGAACACTCTTTACTATTTTGTGAATCGAATAGAAAACTTGCAGAGTTCGTGGGACTTGAGAATTGACTTAGGACATATCTTTAGAGCATGAACACACAAGAGCCATATACAGTATATGTTTTATACAATGTTTTAATCTGACTGCGCTGTAAAGCATTACAAATACTTCTAGTTTTAGTGTTAGAAAACACATACAGTGAGGGAGATTTATCAAAACTGGAACAAACATAATCTGGAGCAGTTTCCCACGGCAACCAATCAGCATCTCTCTTCAGTTTGCTTAAGTATGGTTTGATAATGAGAGAGAGAGAAGCTGATTGGCTGTAGTGCAAATCTGCTCCAGATTTTGTCTGCTCCAGTTTTGATAAATTCCCCCCATTGTGTTTTCATTGTTGTGCTTTACAATGCATTTTTTAAATTGCATTTGAACCCATTTCTGTGTGGACGGTGCAAGAGATTGCCTGTAACAGAGCTGCCTAATGCATATAAAATATATACAGAGTCCCTTGTCACATTTGACAAATCATTTGTAGGACATTGAATTGCATGCTGGGAGCCAAATTTAGTTTTTTAACTTCACATGCATGTCACTAATTGAAAACAGATAGAAAATGCCTGCAAATGTGTAGAGAAGACACGTGCATTTGAACTTGTGATAGTGTGTACTCGAATCATTGGGTTTTTTTTCTTTTATTTGTCATTAGTTTGCAGAAAAAACTTCAGGCAAAAGTGTTCTTAACCCTTGCAGTGGGGCTATCCCTGCACTCCAAAGGTTAACTGCTCGTTGTTGTCTAGGTGCTAAAAATAAAAAAGTTATACTTACCGGATTTCCTGTCTCCTCCTACACTACAGTGTTGATATGTTCCTCAACATCCCCACATCTATACACTGTGTATAGAATGTGATGAATTACAGGACCTTGGACTGATGCAGTGGAGGGAGAGAGAGGCTGGAAGTACTGGTCTAAGAGCAAGCTGGTTCGGGGATCACGAGAGTTTAACTTAACCCTTGCAGTGCGGGGGCCAGCCCCACTGCAAAGCTTAAGAAAAATTCTGCCCGGAGTTTTGCTGTAAAGCTAAACTCTGTTCAGCTTGTTAAAATGTCCTTTATAGCTCCCCCTTCTAAAGCAAGGCTCTAATGCTTGTAATGACAAGAGGGCTATAACAGAGAAAAATACGTTTTAATTTGCTCTCTCAGACTTCCTCCACACCGAACTACCAGTCCCACCAACAGTTGTGCAGCTGCCTCCTTGCTGATGTCAAATACATACATCACTGTAAGCTAGGAAATCAAGGGACCACCCACATTGCAAGAGCACAGGAGAGATAGACAGAGACAGCTGCTGGGAAGGGGGTGAGGAATAAGGTAAGAATGTTTCACTGTTATAGCCCCTAAACATAACAAGCATTAGAGCTTTATTATGGAAGGGGGGACTGCTAGAAGGGCAGTTTTTCAAGCTGTCTGGAGTTCAGCTTTGAATTTAGTTTTTAGGAGTTGCAGATATTTGAATTAGTTATTCTCTTGTTAAGTTTTAGCTACCTGTTTGGTTTCACTGTTCCAATGGTTAAGCTTTTGTCACACATTTATATAAAAATACTTCAAAGCGCAAGTACAGCCAAAGGGCAAAATAGACCGTTGAAAAATGAATGGTCTTACCTGCCAAAATATGAAAAATTCTGTTTAACTAGTTTTCTATCCATACAGACAGTCTAATCACTATGTAAAGTTCTGACAATTTACTTTTCTCCTTTGCAGTCAATGCAGTACAGATTAGTGAAGACTGTAATTGGGTAATGAAGGGATGTCAATTCAATAGTCACTCATGTGCTTTCTCCTCCAATCGGCAAACTCCATTTGCTAGATTCAGTGTACTGCTCAATGCAGTAAGGCTTGATTGGCTTATAGTGCCCCCCCTTCCTTCTTCACACTGAATGCTGATATACAGGGAATTACAGGAAGCTAGTCCACAAACCAGTTAAGGCACAGTTTCAGACTTCATTGAAGGATTTCTGGGATCGATTATGACACAAGAGTTACCCGTCACAGCTTTTAGCTGGTTTTACTTTTTCCTACATGCTTCAGCATTCTTCCCCCTGCAAACCACAGTGCAATGCAGATTCTTCAGTTATGCACTGAAAGGTTATGTACTGAGAGGCAATGGCATTGCATTGGAGTAATTTGGGGATGGGCATGCTTATGAGCAGATTTGTTGGGGTGTTGGTACCCTGGAGGCTAGGTGTTGCCAAATGTGAGGCATGTGCCAGTACTATAGAGTGGTATCTCATATCAATGAAATTGTGAAAACTGCCCTTTGTGCTGTGCATAAACACCCACCTAGACCTAGCCTAAATTTGCAGACACTGAAACTGCCTACATGGGTAAAAGAAAAGTGAATTATGAACTTTCATTTATGCTACCCATATGATGGAAAATCTTAATTCGACAATGATGGGCCATTATAGTTTAGGTTTTCACAAGCCTTCAATAATTATTGTACAATACTTCATATGTGTGCAAAGCACTCCAGACTCCAGGGAACTTTTCTGTAGCTTCTGAAGGTAGAGCGGTTTAAATGTCTCAATATGCTTCGTTGCTGTTGATTTTGTCTGAACTTGCCAGTACTGTTTGTACACAGAAAATGTTCACCCAGAATTGTGAGGACAGCTCTATGGAGCTGCTCAGCTAGCCTGCACCATCTCCTTCACCAATGGGCCAAACTGCAGTCTCGTCAGTGGGAAAACCCATCAATAGTTTAATGAGCTGTGGGCAGGCTTTCCATTAATGTTAATGGGCTGTATGGTGCGGTGAATTAGGTGTAGGACGGAAAGCATTGAGGGGCTGTGGGGTACTGGGCAGTCCACACAGAGTCATGTCAGGTAAATATACAGGGCTAGAGCAATGCTAGTGGAGAGGAGGCCTTAAAATATGCCAATTGCACTAAAGGAGATCATTTGGAGCCATCATATGTCTTGTCTTTTTACCATTGACCATTTAGACTCTAAATCTTAGGGGATTCTTCTAGTTTTTCCTCTTCACGTGTCTGACTGTGGTAGACCTGGGTAAACATTACCTGGGTGACCATTAACAGTAATTGTTTTTGTGTCCTGTCCTTTCAACATTGACCATGTAGACTGTACGTTTTAGAGATTGCTTCTAGTTTTTCCTCTTTATGTGTCTTGACTTTTTTAGGCCTGGGTAACCATTAACCGGGTGACCAATAACAGTAATTGTTTTTGTTTTGTTACAGAAAAGGATTTATTGGTTATCAAATTGCAATGCAGTATGTTACTTGGCTTTTTTCAATGAAATAGGCAAAATGTAGTGTTTAGCAGAGCTGTTCTTTAGTTTTGTCTACTCTTCTACAGTGTAGCGTACATCACTGAGCTTTATTCTTTCCATACTGAACAATCTTGAGGATTCCATGTCTGATTTCAGTTTCTGATATCACAAGTATGATGACTTAAAGTAGAGTTGGAGCCATCACTTTTTTTTAGTTTTGAATAGAATGGAGCTTTTGTTGCCATCTGTGTCCCATTGGGGAGATTTTCCTTCACTTCTTGTGTGAGACGCAACAGGAAATTAGAGGAAATCCCTCCAAGAACCCCTGGTGATCAGCAGGGTCACCAGAAATAGTGTACCCATTGGAAGATTTCCCATCTATTCCTGTTCTGATGACAACCCAAAAGTTGGGATTTTCTTTCACTTTCAGTGTCATCAGAACAAACAGGGTGAATCTACATAATGGGGATACAGACAGCAATTAAAACCTGACTGGTGTTCTAATTCCTCTGCAGTCTATCCAAAACTAAAAAAAAGGGTTTGGCTTCAGTTCCACTTTAAAATAAGATGTGTATATTCAGAAATCTGGGAGCTGGCACTGCTTGATTTGATTTTAAGCCCAATTAAATTTTTAGTTTAAATCAGCTAAATACATTCCATTCAGAGTCCTAAAGGTAATTTTCTTTAGAAGGCAGCCACAGCCCGAGGTTAAAAGGGCTGCTTCTGCCAACATGCTATAGAGAAGAACCTTTGTTCTCTGTGTGGAAACAGTAGTCTCTCTGCAGAGGTTTGACATGCCCCCTGTGGAGTCATACCTAATGTTCTGCAATCGGTAAAGATCATGCTTCATTGGATAGCTCCGGCTCTGACTCAACAGAGGGGATGTGTCGGACCTCTGCAGAGAGATCACATGTTCAACATAGAGAACAGGGTTTTCTAGTCTTAATGAAGAAAATAAACTGTAAGACTTTGCTCACCTTTTAGTTTGGTGCACTTAGAATGTATTTACCTGATTTTAACCTGAGAGTTCAGT